CTCACAATCACACCACATCGTCTTTAATTAATCGCGCATGTCGAATGAATACCTGTCGATGTTTTGGCAGAAATTCGCGACGTTGGCATGATTGATGGATCAGCTTCACCATCTAACACATATTGTGGTAATCACCAACATGACACGCATTGTTTATCATCCTCTTCATTACGACTTTTTTAATTTTTAATATTCCAGATCATTACAGCAAAATCAACGTCAAAATAAATTGAAAAAAACTCTATAAAAGAAATTTTGGTTATTAAAACTTAAAAAAGAATTTTTCTTCCTTAGATAAGGGGAAGAATATAAATATGTTTTAGGTTAGCATATGTTTTAGTATTCTTTGGGCGTATATACCGGATACGTTTCATATTTTACATGGGGCGGTGGTAAATTTACCACGCTATATGAATAGACTCAAAACGATCCATATTTATGTAAGCCTCAGTAGAATTTATTTTCTAAGCACAAAAGAGAAGGTATCGTAAAAATGCATCATCGTTCATAAAATCTGTGGCGTTCAGTAAGATAAGATTATTGGAAAAAGAAAATCAACAAAGCGAAACGCCAACAAAAGTAAACAAATACCTTTAAAGATAAACATATTAAATATATTCAAAATTTAAAAAAATAATGATAAATAGAACTTATTTCTGTTTCCTTTGACTTAATTAAAAGTCCATTGTATATTGAAACTATCTTTCCTATCTAGTTTTATAAAGACTATCGATTCCGTGAACAATGGACCGGATATTCCATTAAACGGGTTCGTTCTTCCTTTTAAAGATCTATTAAAAAGTTTCATTTTCCCCATCTTAAAAAAAAATCTATTGTTACGAAAAAATATTACCAATATTCGTGTAGTAAGTACTAGAACCTATCTCGCTCAAAGTAATTTGAAGCGTTAAAAGTCATAAAGAAAAACGGGAATTTGATTTTCTCCCTCCATGAAATGTATGTATATTAAAAGGTGGAAATTTTAATATCTACATGTTTCATCTCGATGAAAGTTCAAAAAGTTTACAATAGATTAAACATGTTCCTTTGATCAAAATGGCTCAAATCGAATGAAATTTCTTTCTTTTAAAGCGTTATTACTTCTGATATTGACATTTCACAGCAATGGATGATTGAGTTTTATTGTTTGAGTTGTATTTTTATGTACAGTTGTGTAAAAGGATAAATTCAAATTACACATAATAGCAAACAAATTGAAAATACTCAATAACTAACTCTTTGAAGTTGTGATGAGCAGCAATCATTCCATACATATACTCTTTGTATCAACTTTATAGTTTTCTCTTCTCACTCCTCTTTCCATTAAAGTTTGCAGAAATCTTTCACTGGGTATACTATCGAAAACCTTTTCAGAATCTAGAAACGCTCCGAAGACTTTTCTTTTTTCCCATAATTGCCTTATCTGTTATTTGTTTTGTGGTAAACACGTGGTTTTGCGTACTTCTTCCGGTTCTGAACCCGTTGTGTGCGTTTTCCAGCTTTTTTCTACGTTTTTTCTCAATATCTTCTCTAATTTTTTCTTCAATAAATTCATAATTGCGCTTAGTAATGTGATACTACGACAGTTTTTACAATTCAATTTTTTGAATATAAGTAAGTACGATTAATGCTTTCCCCCAGTCTGGTGGCAACTTTTCTACTCATCATATCTTATTATACATGTGGTATACTGTACATATGTCAGTACTTCGCACTTGTTATCTGTAATTCTTTGTACATTTTGTCTCTTTTCTGTTCTTAAGGAAACAGGTTAAACAGTTACTGGTTTTCTGCGCAACTCGTTTGTATCTTCTCTTCAAATTTTTTCCATCATTTATTTTTGGCAGCAGTTCATCATTTCCTTTATCTTTGGTAGTTATTGTGATTATCTTGAGCTTTTTTGTCATATAGGTCTTTTGTACCTCTTTCTTAATTACCTACATAAAGTTTCTAATCATAAGAAGTATTATTTTATAGTGCTACAAGCAGTAGCTGATGCACATGCCAGACTTATAACAACTAAAGTTGAAGGATCCAAGAAACAAAGTGATAGAGGCACATTTACGCCATCTCAACCTAAGTGATAAATAATGGCAGTTTAAGCATTGCTAAAGATACTCCTTTGCATATATTTTTAAGAGGTAAAAGTTTTATAGTTTAATATCTGGCCAACAAACAAAAATAAACTGGGTTTATCTATCGAATAGAGAAAAATAATAAAGAAAAGATAACAAACATATGGAAGCTACACGAGGGATCTACAACATAAAAAGGTGCTAGATATTAGATGAGAAGAAAGAGAAAATGTGGAACTAGTCCCCGCTTGAAGACCTAAATCACTTCCTATAGAAGCTCCTGAAAAAGATAAAAAGGAAGCCAAAAATCAAACACCACTAAGAAGTCCGGCAAACCGATAGATATTCGACAACCTTTCGACAACCAAGAAAAATCCAAACTTTTAGCGGATCATTTAAAATCTGTTTGGCAACTGAGAGAAATTGTTGATAATCCCAAAGCGCTAGAGATTACGGGGAAAGAGATTAGTAAGAAAATCGATATACTAAATCCACGATAAGCGGCCGGAATGGATGGTATAAGATGCTTTCCAAAAATGCAATATTGCAAATTACGAAGATAGTTTACGGAATAATAAAACGGAACTCATTTCCAGGCTCATGCAAAACGGCAAAGTTTTTAAGTGAAATCTATGGCGTTGATTTTTATCTTGTTAGTTCCATTAAGCGTTACGTTTCTAAATCGTAACAATTATTTCGTCTGATGGTATATTCACCTTGTAAACTATTATAGGCAGATTAGAGCTAGTCGGTCTCTCCAGATTACCTAACTGTTATAGCAAATACTTTAGTTTTCATCGAAGCCTAAATAAATAAGTGGTCGACTGTGGGTGAGCTGATAAGTATATTGTGTATACATCATAAAATCTTAAGAAGGAAGGCTTATTGAGAAAAAGTGTATTGTTTATTTTCGATTTAAGCTTTTCTACATAAAGCACTGATTAATTTTTGCAATTATTAATCAGAAAATACGATCAACGGCGATATGAATCAAAGTTACTCGAATATCACTATGTTGCATATTTTTATTGCACTAAAACTAGAACTAACACTAGACCTGGAAGTAGAAAGTTTATTAGAATATTTCTAGTTCTAGGTCTAGTGTTAGTTCTAGGATTACACTAGCACTATCACTACAACTAACACAAGACCTAGAACTAGAATCATTCGGGTTTAGCCAGGTTTCTAGCCGGGTTTCTAGCTAGGTTTCTAGTTCTCGGTCTAGTGTGAGTTCTAGTGGCTGTAGTAGGTAGCGCTAGTTAGCATAAGATATTACTATGTTATATATTTTTATTGAACTAAAACTAAAACGAGAACTAGAAACATACGGATTTACTCCTGAAAAAACTTTCAGTTGTCAATGTCAACTTTAATTTTATTAGTATATTCGTAATCTTCATAAAATAACCTTTAAAGTGAGTACAAACTTGACGCATTTATCTCAAAAAACCAAAAAGTACGAACTTTCAACATTTAATTTTGACGTATTTGTCAACTTCATAAAAAATCCTTTAAAATGAGTCCAAACTCGACATATTTAACTTTAATATTAATGGAAATACAATCACTTCCGGTTTGAAACGTCAACGTCAATTTTGACATATTGCTTATCTTCATTAAAAAACCTTTAAAATGAGTCCAAAGATGACTTATCTCAAAAAAACAAAAAGTTAGAATAAAAAACATTAAACCCTAAATTAGCAACAATTTAATTTTTAAATATTAATACCAACCTTAATTTTTTATTTTTTTTTTGTTAATTTTTGTTTTTGTGACAAATATTAAGACATTTTATAAAAATTAAGAATATGTCAAAATGACATTGACATTTCAATCCGGAAGTTACTTATATCTCGGGTATCAAAGGATTTTTCACGACGATTACAAATATGTCAAAATTGACGTTGACATTTTTAACCGGAAGTTAACTATAACTTCATTAATATTGTAGATAAATATGTCGTGTTTGCACTCATTTTAAAGCATTTTTAATGAAGATTACAAATATGTCAAAATTGAGGTTGACATTTTAAACCTGAAGTCAGTTATCACATGATAGAAGTTTTATAACTGAAGTTAATCTAGCATTAGTCACTTTTCCACACATTCTTTTTACTTTTAACGTGTTTTTGGGTCATTTCATTTTAGGTTACAAAAACATCCTGTATAACTGTAAAACATAACGAGTGACCAAGTGGCTTCTGTGCTTGTGATAGCTGTCAATAGTGTTCTTCTACAATTTTCAATAATTTGAGCCTGTCTATTCTGAGAAGTCTTATATTTTTAGAGAGCTGAAAACCAAAATCCTGTTTTTCTCAACGTTATTCATAAGTTAATATCTTTAATTGATGTGAATATCACTTTATATTACAAACATATTATTCGACTAGCGCTCGTCAGTACGAGTTACAATCAAAAAAGATGTTTATAACATTTTGTAACTACTTCTTCAGAAGTAACTTTCTAGTACACTTCGACTGTATACCTGTTCCTCTACCGTTTTTCTTTTTTCTCCTGCAATAATGAGTGTTTATGAGAACATTTTTCTCTTCATGAAATCAAAGCAGTTTGGGTTGAAAACATCCATTTTACCATAAATTAGTTAAACATTGACAGTGTTATTATCATTAGTGTCTAGTTTTGGCTATTCATCCAATTCAATTAATTATGCTTCTGTTCTGATTATTCTTAATTATGGAAATTACCTGGAAATTTTGATTAATTAATTAATTATTGAAATCTTGGGAATGTATGATGGGTTAAAAAAACATTCAAAAAATGTTTTTCACAATAATTTACTTTTATTTTTTTACACAAATATGTAAAAGTTAATGGAATAAAGAGAAAAAAAGCTTATACATATAAAATATGTACTACAAAAAAGAAACCGAATGTACGTAAAATACATTCAAATATCAAGAAAAAGAAGATTAACTAGTTAGTAATCAACATTACATAAATACATATTTTTATCTTTGGGTTACTTAAACCTAGAAAAAAACAATTTCATCATTACTTTTACTTTACATCCTATAAGAAAACATGAACATTAGCCAATTTTAAAATACTTGTAGCCTAACTTAAGCATACCCATCCTTCATCATCTTTAGCCATTTGATAATGATGCTTCCTCAATGCACTCAAACGAACCCGTTCTTGTTCCAATTCCTTTTCCAATTCTAAAACTCTAACTTGCGCTTCCATTTCAAGCCGTTTTGCTTGATGTAGTGTCAATTTCGATGTATCTAACACTTCGTCTTCCATTAATTGGCTACAAACCTTCACTGTAGCTACAACCGCTCCAGTTGCTGTGGTAACTCCTTTAGAAGCTTGTGTTAACTGTTCAAGATTAGAACTTTTACGTTCAGCTTTAACGCGACTTGCGACAACTAGTTGAGCTGTTGATGCAGCTATTTCTTGCGCACCAACGACTAATTGTTCAAGCTTTCCTTGACCACTAACTACTTTATCAGCAGCACCTCTAAAAATTTATAATAAAAATTAGTTATAGAAATATAATTGTTTAAAATCATTACAATAAAAACGTAGCTGCAACAGCAACCGCCTTTGCTGCTGAAATAAACCCATCTGTCCATTGATGATTTCTTTTATAAAATTCTTTAGCGCTTGCGGTTCCCTATTAATTAAAAAAATTAATTAAACATAAATGTATGTTTTTATTAATGATTTCATACTTTTCCTTGAACTACAATTTCCGCTTGGAGAAGTCTCGACTTTTGAATCAACACTTTAATCGCAATCATAAGAGTTGTACAAGAATCCAATATTTTTTCATTTACTTCCAATTTTAAACCTGAATCGGCTTCTCTTGATTTATTTAACATTTCCTATTTTCAATATAAATTGATTTTGATGATTTAATTTGTAAAAAAAGATCTTACCTGTATCTTATTGGCAGCCTCTTCAATTGCTTTGTCCATAACAACCATTTCATCTTCTAACATATCCGATAAATTATCAGAATTTAATCCACTTAATGATCCACTGATTGTTTCTGCCAATAAAGATACTTCTTTTAATTGAACCTGAGCATTATTTAAATCTGTTACAATGGGGGTGTTTTGTTGCAAGCAATCCAGCACTTTTAAGATAAAATCCCCTAATTTTTTACATTCATCTGCCATCTCTGTATTAATAAAATAAAATTAAAATTTTGAAATAAAAATTTTAACAAAATTACTCTCTCCAAACATAATGTCGGGACTTGAATTTGAAGTTGCCCGTCCTTGCAGAAGAAAAACGGCGAGGCGATGAGATATTCTCGACGCAACTTTAATAACTTCAGATGGACTGTCATGATTAACTAAAAGAGCGGCTTCTAATGACTCTGAACAACCGTCTGTTAAACTTCGGAAATAATCTGGTGAACAATTAACGGCCGCCAAAGCTGGATTATCAACTTCCGAAATTGCGTGTTCAATAATTAATTTACTTTCAATAACCGATTCTGAAATAATACTAATAATATCTTTCTGTTTAGTTATTTTCATTAAAGTTATTGACTGTTCAAGATCGTTCGATTTCGTAATCATTTCACTTAATTTATTATCTAAAATTTCTTTTTCGGAAATAATCGTTTGAAGAGAATCGTTAATGGAATTTTTCTCTAAAATGGATGACTCATAATTTTGTTGTAAAACTTCCATTTCAGCCGATAAAAAATCTTTATCCTGCTTCAACATATCAACCTCCTGCTTGTAAATTTGAGAGGATTGTTGAATTTCAGCTTCTTGTTTCGTATGTTCTAGATTTATTTCTTGTAATTTTTCTTGCAATTGCGAATTATTGTGTTCTAATTCCTTTTCTCTACGAACGCCCGCGTTTACCTTTTTCTCAACCTCAGCCTTTTGACGCAATAATTGAATATGATCTTCTCTTAATTTAACGTATAAATCTTTAACTTTATTAAACTTTTCGTCTTTAGCTTTTTGTTCGGAATCTTGTGATTGAGCGACAGCAGAAGCTTGATGAAATAAATCTTCTTTTATTTGACGTTCTTGTACTAATTCACTATCTTTAGTAGCTAATTCCGTTTCTAATGTCGTTATTTGATCTTGAAGTGTATTTATATCTTTATCTTTTGTAACAACGACTTTGGTAACTTCATTTCTAAAGGAAATGTGAATATATAAACAAATATATAGTCAAAATAATGTTTTACCTTAAACGCTCAATTTCGGTTTGTAAATGCTTTATTAATTTGTCTCTTTCGGCAAGTAATTCTAAGTGACTCTGACAAACACTGGTTGTACTTGGTTCTGTTGCTGCTAAATCGGTTGTATCGATAAGGGTGCCTTCTGAGACAGTTTCTTCTTCTTGTTCTTGAGGAACTACAACTTCCTGAGTGACGTAACTATGCAGATTGGCTTGGATTAAGAAATTTGGTGGGTTCTAAAACAAATTTAGTTAGTTAAGTTTTTTAATTTTATTTTTTTAATATAGTTATATATGAAGAAATACATGATGGTAGGCAACTTTAGGACGTCTTGGAGGGTGCCCTGTTATATGAAGTATTTTTATCGGTTGATTAGAATAGATATCACAACCATGGGTAATATTGTAGAACATCACCGTTCGCGAATTTAATTTAAAAAAAAAAACAAAATTAAGGAAATTAAAAAATAATTGAAAATTGATAGTCTGTTTCTTTTTTGAGAATTTTATACGATTAATTTAGTCCATTTTTTTTTACTTTTTTGCGCGAATTACCGAAAAACTGTGAAAGTTACGTTATTCTTTGACAGTTTGAAATGAAGGTTTTAAAATAAACATGAAATTAGTCATACAACAAGTCAACAAGTTTAAAACGTTAGTTTTTTTTTTGTTTTCAATAGTACAAAAATCCTTTACACACTAAATATCGTCTGTTTAATCTGTTACCACAAAAATTCTTATTTCATTTTTTATCTAATGAGGTAATTACAATCTACAATTTAATTTACATTTAAAATAAATGACTTAATTAGCTGTTCATGTATGTGCAGCACATTAGGATGTGCCGAAAATAATTACGAGCCATTCGGAGCAATTAAGTCTTTAACATATGTAATAAGTTGAAAGTAGCTATGTACTACTCAAAACCATTTAAATTTTTAATAGAGCGTATAATAGCTAAAACTTTTGGGAACATCTGAGAGCAGTGAGTCGCTGAAAGCCTTTAAGGGCGTTGGGGATTAGTTGAAATTGGCAGTTAGTAAAACGAAAGATATTAGGAGCCAGTGGTCGCTATTAGGAGCTATTCTGAATCAGTCTGAGGTAATGCGGACGCTCACCTAATAAGATCTTTTCCTTTCTGCCGTGTAAACACGAAGTTTTCCAACACTTGCCTGAGCGGCAGTGCAATTTGTGATCCCTCCAAATCTGACGGCATTGATAGCACAGTATCAGTGCTTATAATGTCTTCCGCAGCCCATTGGCAGGACATGTCAGAACAGTTTTGAGCATATTGCTTAAATCTGTAAATGGTTGTTCTAGCCAGTTTCTCTATATGCAAATGCAGAGGAGATAGGCCAAGCAGAACCTCCACTGCTACTAAGTCAAGAAAAATCAACACTATTTTGAAATTGTATTTGCAGATGGGTATAAAACGCTTACAGAGCTGCACAGATCGTCTGCCTTGATCCATCAAATGAAAATGAAGTAGGACAAAGGAAGAAACATGGTAATGCAAGACTATAATCACAATATGAATTATGTAAACAAATTTGATAAGTTGTTGACGAGCTATAAATTAGCCCGACAATGCAAGAAGTATTGACAGAGAGGAATATTGTGTGTAGCTATGACGCAATGTGATTTCTGTCCAGTATTCTTAACGTCATAATAAAGACATTCAAACAAGCGTGGATAAATCCTCTGATGAATTGAGGCGAGCGTGTTGCAAGCCTAGTATCCAAGATTTATCGACGTGCAAACGATAAACTGAACAATAAACCTGCATCATAGCTGCTACAGAATGGATTGAATTTGTTCCGTGTGGAAAGTACCATTAGGTTTATCAAAAGTCAAATCTTGCTTTCAGAATTATCAAAATAAATTAGTTTTTTAAGAACAAGCATAAATTGATGCATGCAGAACAATATGCCAATATGGTTTTGTAATAGAAGTGGCCATGTTGTGTCTCAAAATATCGTGGGAGATTTCTTAATAGTAAGGTATTTAATACTCATGTGCATTTATCAAAGAATCGCAAACATTACGTCGACAGGGATTGCGACCTTACCATGTTAACAAGTACAGCACCTCTAAGAAAGAGTGAAGTTAGACGCATAATTAGCGTTTAGAATAACTAATCAATTCGGTCAACTTATTGTACAAATTTTACTTACAGTGAAGCAACACGTAGAATAAAATTGATGATCTTACGAAAATTGAGATTTGCTATTAATATGCTAATGGAGATATTTTCTGTCCACCTTCTCTAATGGGACATAGGAGGTTACATAAATTATTGCAAAGTGATGTGTAAGTGTTACTGGGAGGAAGTTCTTTAACCCCCACATCTCACATGTATTATCAACATGACGTACAACTACCAGGGAAGTGAGAGATTATTTAAACTTAACATTTTACAAAAATTAACTGGTCGATTTCATTCCATTCAACAAAATTAATACTCATGAATTGGTTGGTTGCAGTGTAATCACTGTTACTTTCTTAAAAGAACAACAAGACAGCTTTGGAAGAGCTGCACATGGTTGCAGAAGGAGTTAAAGTTGTTGATGGAATTTTTGAACATTTTTTTTATGAATTGTAACTAACTTCTGTGCGAATTGTAATATGTATTGGGAACAAATACGATTTTGTCATTCAGGCTATTGCATCATTAACTACTGCAATTTGGAGCGACTATTAGTCTTTAAAAGCATAATGTAGTTAAAATAACCGAGATATGCTAATTATAGATTAGAACCAACTGCAAGTTATTTGTAGTTAATTGGAAGTATAACAATGTATTGAGAACCATTTGAAATCTTTGAAAAGGATTTAATAGCAAAACAACAAAAAGTGAGTTATTGAGTAAGATACATTGGGTCTATTAAAAAGCGTTTAAAATCGTAAGGTATTAGGAGAAACTTGAAGAAGAAAAGGTGATTCTGATTTTCTGTTCCACACTCATATTGACAGGCTTATATTTTTTTCTGGCTACTTTTTTTGACGTAGCATTAACGTAATGGTATATTTCATGTTTGATGATCTACAGAACATCACTCAAAGAAAAAATTGTCTTAATTTATGCCAAAAACAGGTTGTTAAGGTTATACACACTATTTACGGATATCAGTTATTATGACATGTCAATAAAAGTGCAACCACCTGTATGTATTTCTGAAGTTTACATTTACGAAGATTTTTTTGCTACACTTACCTCTGGTAAAGGTGGAACGGTAATTAAATCCTTAAAATACTGTAACGCGTTGGTATTTTGGTAAAATTGTTTGAGCTCCTTAAACTGTTTTGAAAACCTATCTCTATGTCCCTGTAAAGTATCGGGCGGTAACGACGAATGCAACTTAAATAAAATTTTAACGCAATAATCGTATAACTTGGAGGCATCTTGTATGCATGGAATCAACGGCGCCAAACGACACTGTCCAGCACTGGTCATTGAATTGGAACGCGACATATCCAAAGACCCAAAAACTAGAAATAAATTAAAATTGAATATTTAACAATAAATAAAAATAATTTTGTTTATTTTTGGTGCATTATACTTACTCGCTGATTGCAAATCTAGAATACCATCCATATAATCAAACATTTCAACACTCATTTCAAAACTACAAGAAAAAAAATATTATTGTTTAATATTTTTTTAATAATACAAAAACTAACTAATTATTAATATCATTAGCTCCAATTGATTCCAATTCCTCTTTCGAAACACCTAAATGTCCTGGAAATCTTGGATTTCTTTTATGAAACTCCAATTTTGTCATTAACAATAAAGTATACAGTCTTATAAGTTTACCATAACCCTCTCTTAAGTGACCCTAAATAAAACAATTATCATAGTAAAATATTATTAAAAGCTTTAAAAATCTTTATTAACCCATAATTTCCCCAACTCGTCCAAATCGCTTTTATGTCTTTGACTTTGTACCAGACAAAGTGGATGTCCCTCCCTTAAAACTTTGTGCAGAACATGACAAAACTTCCACGCAACAATTCTATCATCCATCGTCGGTAATCTAAGGGCGATCGTCCAAAAAATTTGAGCTCCTTGCTGTTGGAACGTTCCGATAATTGCTGAACGGACATGTTTTTGTTTAACTGGCACTTCAAGAGGATTAACAGCCTTAGTTATCGCCACATGCTATATTAAACAATAGAAAAAATAGTTAATAACAATAATTAAACAGAATAATTATTAGTATATCAAGAAAAACAGCATTTATTGTTGGCAATCAAAAAATGAATGTAAGATCTACTTAAAATTAGTGTTAATTAAAAAAGTTACGACTACTCATTACTATTCATCAGTTACTAAAAATGCCGACATATTGCAAGTAATTTATTAATGAATTAATATCGTTACAAGTTCCGGTTTTCAAAACGGTTAACGACGGCCAATAATGAGACACAAAAATTACAAATTGCGGTTTGATACGCATTTTGATTTTCTGAATAAGTTTTTAATGGAACAATTTATAATCGTTATGGAGAATGTTTAATCATTACGGTTCAACGTGTTGCACGAATGCCCGCGAGAAGAAATAAGCCGGAACGATAAGATATTATACGGGTGCATGTATACCGTTACGTTCTACACGCAAAGTGAACAAAACAAGAAGACCGGAAAAAAAATAGAAAGAAAAAAACACAATGAATGCATTATTCTTTTATGAAATTTACAACGTTGGAAATGTTTAATAAAACGTCTATTCATCTGTTTTGTTTTGTTAAAGGCTATTCAATGTTGGTTCGAAAAAACGACAATTAAAAAATATTGTATTTTTAAACCCACAATAATAACATCCACTCACATTTTTTTTATTAGTATGACTCAGATATAATGAAATAAATGTTAGACATGGGAATAGGTTCCGATAAAATAGGTAATATCAATAATTATTTTATCAACAAAATAATTCTTAGGCACTTAGAAAATATAACACCCAGATAAAATAAAGTATCAAAATACATTTGATTAGATAACATTTAATATCGCGATCAATAACCGGAGGTAAAATAACAGGATGAGAATGAAATCGAGTACAAAAACATTTAAAGTGCCACTGGAAAGGAAGTGATTTAAAATATAACCAGACTTTTGACTTCCTTATTAATCGCTGGAATACACAGACGCATACACCGGTGATAAACATGTTACGGGATGCGTTTATTTAAAAGACAAACGCGAAGGAGAGCGAAATAATAACGTATTTAATTTAATGTAAAAAAAATTGGTATAAAATCGACATTCCATCAGTTTAAATTTGCGGTTAAAACTAAAAATAGATGAACCTAAACAAAGATTGAAGTTGATTTAAAATCGTCTAGAAACAGGAAATCAGCAAGAATGTATCGTGAAAAGGTTATTATAAGAATATATTTAAAATGATTATTAACGTTAGTTAATAGAATCAGATATTGATTCTAGATAAAAGTGAATCATGAATTTCTTAGAAAAAAATTAATCTCGTATGACTACATAAAATCAATAACGAAAATGTTCAAGAACAAATTTATAACCAAACTTTAGAAATCAAGGAAATTAATAAAATTGTACATACGCCTAATAATTTATTGCTGGAAATAGTTGATATTGTAAAAATTGTGAGACTAATTTTCTAAGAAATTTTATGAATACTGCAGAGTATGATAATTAAAAACGTTACTACTTTCTGAAAAAAAAAATTATAGAAGGGTCACTAGACGGTATGTTCAAGTTTCTAAATGGCTTGATGATCTAAGACTTTACAATTTATCACCATAGCTGTACTAAATAGAACACAAACGATTTAAATACAGAGATACTGCGTGTATGAAACAACTTACAGTTAAGGAGGTCTGAACACGTAATCGTAGTACATTCCAGTTGATTGTGGAACACAAGAATTATTCAGGCAACAAACACACTGTCTTTCGGTCAAAATTTCCAAAATGGTCAACCGGTAAAGAGTCTTGATCGCCAGAACATATTCAAAATATTTTCTACAAAAAATTTGGTATTGAATGCGAGCATAGTTGCGGTAAAACTACGTTTAGAAATAAGGAGGCTGTATATGTATATAAAAACAATCCATACCAGATTCATCCAAAAGCAAATACTTCCATGAAAGAAGGGACAATTTAGCCAGAAACAGATACGGTACTGATCAGATCGATATGGGAAAAGGAAGGAATGCCTCAAGAATGGCGATGGAGAATAATATACACAGTAACCAAAAAGGGCGACCTCTTTAACGGCAATAATTACAAAGGGATAACTCTCCTGGCAGCAACATACAAAATACTGGGTAGTATACTATACAGCAGACTTCACCCCTATGCTCAGGAAGTGGTTGGCGAGTACCAGTGTGGATTCACCCCTGGAAGGTCAACCATCGACCAAATTCACTGATTACGGTAAATTCTGGAGAAGACAAACAGAAGTCTCCAAGAGCTTCCAAAAAAAGCAAGGTCTAAGACAAGAAGATTCACTGTCATGCTTACTCTTTAACCTCGCACTGGAGACAATCCAAGAAATTAAAAATCACATCTGAATGAGGGTAAGATCATAAAGTAAAGTTTCGAATTTAATGTAAAAAAGGATGTGAATGCCACAATGCAACGACAATAAAACATACGCTTACAAATTTCTGAAAAACTCACTCTTTCAAAAACGCATAAAAGTTAAAAACACCGAAATATGTTGTAGATAAGCTGTTTGAACATTGTAACCTACTTACACACCTGTTTAAACTTGCAGATAAGATTCGATTGAAGACGAAATTGAAACGTCGTCTGTGAAATTGAAACACGCATTCTTTAATGGTTTTTAGGAATATTTCGCAAACTTTCATTGGATTGAAATAACTCTACCAACAGTTATTATCCCGTTCCTATCCCTGAACTACCGATACTTCAAAGACAGTTGGATCCGAAGTAGGTACGGGGTATGGGTATTAGTGGGCCAAATAGTCACATTAAATTGCCCCTCAACTCGGACATAACCATTTTTCAAGGTCTTGCTATAAACTTCTGCACGAATGCTCGATCAAGAGCATTTGAAAATGAAGACTCATAATCCACGACAAAATTCAATAGAGATCCAGAGTAAGATTAAGAGGTATCAAAATCTTGTTTGTAAGACTTATTTTGGAACGAGAACTCTGATAATTTGAACAAAAGATCATTGATTCTAAGGACCCTTGCGAAATTTCAATACGACAATATATTAAATCCAAATTCTGTATTTTCTTAAAAGAAGCAAGGATCGCTGTTATTGTAGGTTTCAAGACTAGATCCACAATATACAAGACAAGATAGTGGTAAGAAAACTCGACAGACGAAAAGTGAGGAAGCCAACAATAAAAAAAATCGATCTGAAAGGCAACCTAACCTTAATTTGATATATATATCTTATTTTGAAGCAACATCATTATGACATACCACAGATCTATATCACACTTGTCTAGAAATATTTAAATTTTTAAAAGAACGTATGTTGTTGAATCACGTCAATAACGTAAATTAACCAGTGGATGCAATAATCAACGTGAGATTAAACCATCAATAGGTCAAACAATAGGTGCATTCTTGACATTATTTCTCATTAAATAGATGACCCTGAGTCTACAGCAATGTCTACCAAATCTCACAAAATAATTAGGCACCCCAGGACAAGAAGTTATAGACGTCCTGTGGTATCAAGGAGCTATCTAGTATCTAGCTGTGTAAATATACTTTTCATTAGTCGCGGAATCAGTGGATAAAATGTTAACGCAAAAATCATGGATATACTGAGAAATAACCAAAGCTAAAAAGTTTTAAGCGAGAATTTGACTGCGCTATGCCATAAGACGTATAAGATGACGAATAAGGAAACACGAATATGTATATTATTTAATGAAAAGGCAGCAAATAACTATAACTGCTACACAAGGCGATTCGAAAGAAGTTAATGATATTGTATGTGAGTGACTATTTGTTCTCGCGTTGCTTAATTCTAAAAAAAAATTGTTTGGTTAAATGTAAAATCATTTACATTTTGTTGCACTTAGAAACTTAATTTTGGAGAAGATATTGGATGTGTAAACTATTTCAGAGCCGTACTTAAATTCTGCATTAATCACACAACGTGTGCAATTAAAAAGTTATTGCACTATTTCTGTGGGACGTTATATACGTGTTGGAATTGGGTTATATATTCTGCTGGGCTGGGAATCCTTGATAGAATTCTTGATGAAGTTTTGCCGTTCACGTTTCATGTATGTATCGCAAGAATTATAAACATTTTTGTTAGGAAGACTTTTTACGTAATCTGTTGATGACCGAAATGTGCAAAACATATTTTGTTTTGCACTGTATAAAATCTTATGTAATTGGAATATAAAGTCTATAAAAACTTCGAAAATGTTTAAGCGATGACTACATGATTTTTTTTAAGTATTTAATTCAGTATAATACTTTTTAATAAATGCTTTAAAAATAATTTTTAATTAAAACTTTTATGACTAATATTTGTTATGCTTAATCTGTATTTAGTATTTATATATTTTTTTTTACAAATCCAAAAATTTGTAACACACAAATCAACTGATAAGTGTATCATTTATTATTTTGTGTTCTCAACTAGGTTTGTTTACATTGATACCAATTTAATTCATAATCTCTGATAAATGTTTTAAATGTTTTTAAACAGATTTAAATAAAGATAAATGTGTAAATTTAACCTGAAAGTCTATAACACAAATTTTATTAAATTTTTTTATGTTAATACCAGTTTCTAAATGATTGAAAACTAGTTTTATAATCGGCCATGTCAAATAATGTACATAGATTTGCTTGCGTTATTTGACATATTTATGCGAATGAAATTTTGAGTTTGAAACCAGTCAAAAACGTTTTGACACTGATTTGCGATCAGGTCTAATTACAATCGTAGGCATAATATGGAAAAAAGTTCAAGCACATTGAAATTAACAATTATTTAAATACGCAAATTGCTTTGAGCAATAACCTTCTTTGTGGCTGCCTTGGACAGGTTGAATGTTATGTCATGGCTATGTATTAGTCAGTGGCAATACTAAAATTAATTTAACCTTCCAGTACACGCGCTTACACAGTCACTCGCGGCGGACTGTCAGTTCGCAATTGCCAATAGATACGATTGATGGGGAAAAGATGGCGTTAGTTAGAAGTTAAACTTAAGATTTATTATCCAAATTTTATTATTTACTTTTTTGTATTAAATCCATATAACTTCACACGTTTGCAACTAAGCTCAGACATCAAGAACTATCAACCAGAACTAGATCTAACATTGGCAGTAGAACTAACACTAGACCTAGAACTAGAAACATTCGGGTTTAGCAGAGCGTCTCTTAAGACGGCTAAACCCAAATATTTCTAGTTCTATGTCTTGTCCTAGTTCTACTTTTAATTCAATAGAACTAACACCAGACATAGAACTAGAAACATTCGGGTTTAGCCATGCGTCTCTTAAGACGGCTAAACCCGAATATTTCTAGTTCTAGGTCTAGTGTTGGTTCTATTGAACTAAAAGTAGAACTAACACTAGACCTACAAAGTTTCGTGTTTAGCTGTGCATCTTCAGACGGCTTTTATTTACCCGTTTTGTATACACAACATTAGAATTGTTATTATTGTCTGCCAACATTATCAAATTTTGTAGTTTGTATTCATTTAAATGTTGTCATTTGGAATAGCTAGCCAATAAAAGATGGAGCTAGTGTGCGCTCAGGAGGCAATTTTTTCGCGTTTCTCAATCTGTCTGGACGCACCTTATAGCTAATATTTTTGCACTAATCGCACTGGGCAACAATTTTCCATAATGATTGTTTTTTTTTTTTACAACACAAATTAGAAACATAAATTTGTTTTAATGTTTTATGTACTTACATATTTATAAAATGATTTTTCATCAATTTCAATTGTGTAGTCCATTGCTTTAGATTTTTTGGTAAAACATGCAATTAGGATTTTAATTTAATAGAAAATCATGCAAGTCTGGAAAAAAATTGTTAACATTTAAAAATTGTGAAAGTTTCAACGACCAAAAAAACCCAAAGCAGGAAGCTTTCTTATGGTGTTAATATCATAGAATCCACTATAGAGTGTTAATGATAAACATACACAAACACAAAAAAATATTTTAGGCACATAAATAAAGTAGCTATTTATAACTAAGGGACAAAAACGTTTATTTATTTTAAATAATCAAAATATAAAGATAATGAGAAATATAAAAAAGCGTTAAAACATTAATCGGAGATAAACAAAGATTATAATCACAAAATTCAGAGAAAAAAGTTGTACATATAGGTTAAAACTAAATCACTAAGTAATTTTTATTTAACAATATAAGAGGATGCATAAAACACTTAGCCCCAATAAAAAATGTAACGAAATTTAATATTTACCTGAGATTTTTCGAAATTTTCACGTTCGATGTCCAGACTGGTTTTTCGGGGATGTAATACCCTCGGCAAGGATAACGATGCCATTTTTCACCGTTTTTTCTTTTAACCCACTATTATAAACTATTACCTTTTCTGCATCGCCTTTTAACAAATATTTATGTAAATAATTAAAAAAAAAACCTTTGTCTATAAACGCATCTGCACGTCAGACAACACCCGCACTTGACAGATGTTTGCGGTGTAAAATAATTTCAACCTTAAATCCATGTGATGGCAGCACCGTTTGAAATAAAGAAACAGTGAATCTCAAACAATTTTAACAATCATTTTCATTTTATTTAATTATTTTTATCTTTATTATTAACAATATCTTTATATGAGTTTAAGTGATTAAAATTGTTATTAATTACAATTAAATAATTGAGATCAATTTTATCATCAACTTTTTTATCGGCCAATTGGGTTTTAATGCCATCTATTGAGATAATTTTTTTATGATAAAAACGTGATTAGATTTATTTTACAACTTATACACAACTTTAAAATAAAAAATATATTTAAATACTTTCTTATTTTCTATCATTGAAACTTATTTTATAATTTAATTTGTTATAGAAAACAGTTTTGTACGAATTAAGAATTTATCACTTTTAGGTCACTGTAATTTTGGTTGCATAAGTATATAAATTTAATTTTTTTAATTAATTTGTTGCCAAGTTTTGCCAAAATATAGACTTTTATATTTCTTTCGAACTTTCAGATTTCGATGATTCCCATGTTGGCGATTTTTTGCTCTTCATACATGTTTACCAACCTTATTAATGCTATTATGGGTTTTATCATTGATTATACTACTCGTATAAAACAGTCAATGACAATACATATTTTTATTTAAAATAGATAATCTTTAAAAAAATCGAAGTAAAATTTCTAAAATTTAACATTAATTAATTAAAAAGCATTCTTTATTTTTAACTTAATAAAAATGAATTTGTCAAATTAACGTCACTTTGACGTTTCTTATTTTGTATCCAAATAAAAAATGACATGAAATAATTAGAAATCACATTGAAATTAAATCAATCATGAAATGTATAGTAAACAGTTAAAATTAAAACTATAAACTAAATACTTCATAAAAAAGAATTCTAAGTATATGAAGAAATACATAATAAAGTATGTTCAAATAAACCATTCATAAAAAGAAAGATTTGAATCGATTTTGAGGAAGAATTTAAAATTTGATTTCCAAATGGCTTTAACGACCCGAGAGAAAGTGTTAATAGGTTTAGTTGCGTCCCTTTTTATAATGTTTCTGGTGTTGGTGGTTGTAGATATAATATTGATATTAAATATAAAATCGTGTGTATAAAAACAATCAATTGTACCAAAATTATTTCGTGCTTACTATCTACGTACACATAAAACAAATTGAATTGATTTATTTTCATAATAAATAGAATATCAAACAATACATTTAATATTTTATGATCCTATTTAATCGTTTAGATTGATATTTCAAACACACGCTGTGATGGACGATATTTTTACAAATAAAAAAATTATTTCAATAAATACACTACGGTGTATTTATAAATAAAACGCCTTCCACTACGGTAGTTTCGTGTCCGATATAAAGTACACATTTAGTATTTATGTTCTACTTTCAGTATAAATTGAAAACAATTTTAAGTTGTCCGCCCAAAATGCTATTTTCAACGTTTGGTTATAGATGTCGCTATAACAGTTAAAGCCAAGCTTCTGTCAGATTATTCTGCTGTCAGAATTTTCTATTGGTGGAGTCAAGTGATGTTTAAAGGTTAATAAAATAAAACGCTTTTCCTATCGGGGTATTTTATTAATCTTTAAAAGAAAACGACATTCGAAAAGAGGACACCAACAAAATAACAATGTAAGTAAAAAAAACTTTATATTATTATCATAATTAGAAATTTTAAGGTTACATTTTTAATTGTGTTTTGGGTTGGTTTTTAATTTGTACGGTAGCCAGAAAAAAAATATATATAAAGAAACTTTATTGGTATGTTTGTTGGAACTAAAAATAAGTTTTAATGATACCTATATTTCTTAAAGAAAAATATTTTTTGTTCCCATAAAATACATGTTTTTACTTCGCTAAGAGCAATTAAGTCTTTGATATTATTCCAAATGTTACTTAATCTGTTGAAAGCTACATTGCAAAACATCGGGCTATATAAAAACCAATCTATTGGCATTCGGAAATTTTAATCTTGATGCCAAAGAGTTTGTGGAATCTTCATTTAAGCAGTGACAATTATTTACAAACTTACAATGTTTATAGGGTTTTCATAAACGAAAAGAGATAACAGTTTCTTGATGATATTAAGGATTGAACCTTTTATGGCCTAAGAAGAGATTTTCCTGATCCAAGCTCCTCCATTTCCAAATTTCCTAAGTATCAACATGTTTCAATACATTAATGTTTGATTTCTTGAATTAATGATACCTATCTTTTTTAAAAAGTAACATTAAATATAAAATCAATCTGAACTATATCATATGTTATATACAGGTTGTTTCACTTAAAACTCCCACACTAAGTATCCCTGAAATAGGTTGAGATATTGTAGTTTTGTAAGAAGGTGTTGCTAGAGTTTGTAAATGACTTCAGTTCTTAAGTATTGTTATTTTTTATTGTACCAAAATAAAGATGGCGCTGCAGTCAAAGTTTTTGTTAGGTGCAAGTGATAGAACATTAAAAGCTGTGCAACTTTCCTTATCAACATTGATTTGAAAAACTTAGTAGTTTCAAAGATATTTAGTATTAATACTGAGACTATTAAGAAGATAAATTAAATATGGATCCAATCATATCACTAGTTACTTTTTTATTGTTTTCGTCTTTTTCTATTTTTGTAGATTGTTAGTTTTTGCCAATTTGCTCCAATTCGATTCTTTGACCCCAACCCAATCTACTCGCCATTGTTAAGACGCCACGAGACGTCTTAATACAGTCTCATATTTGCTCAATAGTCCCTTTTCAGCAAATTAATGTTTTCTAAATTTTTAACAAATTTTTCTAGTTTTCTTTTTAATCGTCTTTAGTCGATTTTACCGGTTGATTTAAGCCGTAATTTCCACTTTCCGCTACGCTCTGAGTTCCTCACTAATATTTACATCATTAGGTGCACGCTTATTCATTGTAATAACATTTATTATTCAAACGGAACTATCCACAAGCGAAATAATGTTATACAATAACATTCATGAGGGTGAATAAGAAATAAACTAAAATGAACAAACTTACCATATTAAAAAAGAAATACCTAAGTGCTAGTAACTGTAAATAGTGTTTGAAAGAACTTGAGTGGGAACGACTGTGGTGCTAAGTAAGCTAAGTATTTCTTAAAGAAGACTAAATAATGTTTGAAGGTTGACGTATACTACATATGACTTAAAAACAACAATAAATTGCTTGTACAACATCAAATTATTATTGTCGAAGAGAAGGTACTGCCATTATAAGACTAGATACTATTTGAACAAGTCTAGATTCTACTTACAGAAGTCTAAATACTGCTTGAACAGGACTACACAGTGTTTGAGCTTGCCGAATACCACATATTATTTGAAAAACGTTATGCACCGGTTTCAGAAAATCAGATTATTATTTTATAAGACTAGATACTACTTGAAAATAATTAGATACGATTGGCAGAAGACTACATACTGTTTGATGATTTACACAGTCCACTTATTGCTAGCAGAGAGCTATATGCAGCTTACAGAAAGCAAAATTCTTGTTCCAGAAAACTAGATACTACTTGAAATGATTAGATACTATTGGCAGAAGTCTACATACTGTTGTATATTGCTTGAAGAGAGTACATATAGGTTACAAAAGGCGAAATTTTTATTCCTATCAGAAGATCAGATGCTGTTTACAGAAAACTAAGTACTATTCTCACAAAACTAGATACTCTTTTTATTTATGTAAATTTAAACGTTGTAAGTTTTTAAATATTCTTACTGTGCAATATTCGACTACACCCAAACCCATTTTTTGCAAAGTCATTGTTAATTTATGTTAGAACTTATTAACATAAATCCCTTAAAAAATATTACTCATTAATAATTTCTATTGATTGAAATTTTTCAATCCAGGCACTCATTGAGTACTTCGCTATGTTAATTCTATGGACGAGGACGTAAAAAGATGCGGCCTACTGATAAACGGCTCGATTGATCTAAATCAAGTGTTGACGGTCAGCTGCAATGAAAAGAAAAAAGTTGCCAGAAAACGATGGGCCATTCTGGCTAAAGCTCTAAAGGTCTGTTCAAAAATAAATTTCCCCCACACATAATATGTTAAAGAAATTTTAGAGTTAATGACAAATTTTACACTAAACCATCACTAAACTTAATTTTTTGATGTTTGGTTTTTATTGTTCAGAGTCCTTCCGGAAGTGAACCTTCAAGTCCAACAGACGAATGTTCAGTTCGCCGCATCTCGTCCTTCATGCTTTTAACAACATCCAGAGAGAACAGCGTTTTGCAATTACATCAAGATAAGTCCTATTACGATTTAATAAAGAAACGTACTTGGTATAAATACTCAATGTGTGCCGGAAATGAAAAAAATGTTAACGATGATTTACACGTTGTAATCGGTTATAGAAAGCGAACGTTTTCCGCGGAAGATTTAATGGGTTTTAATAATACAGGAAATATTTGTATTTGGCCCTCGGAGGAAACGTTATGTTTTTATGTTGGAACGAATTTAGAAATTTTTCGCGGGAAATCTGTTTTAGAATTAGGCGGTGGAATGTCGTGTTTAGCTGGACTCTTTTGTGGAAAATATTCTGATGCAAAGTCTGTAATTCTAACTGACGGGAACAAAATTTCTATAGAAAACGTTGAAGCGAGTATGTTTTGTAATGATTTTAAATGTCCGGTTGAAGCTACAGTTTTAAAATGGGGTACGAAATTTTTACCCACTCTAAATTCTTTAAACAAACAAAAATTTGATATGATTTTGTGTGCGGATTGCTTATTTTTTGACGAGGCTCGATCGGATTTGATCGAAACTTTTTGCGATTTACTCGATGATAACGGTATGGGTCTTATTATGGCCCCACGTAGAGGGAATACTTTAGCTAAATTCGTCGAACAATCGGAAGCGAAAGGTTTTCGTTGTAATGAAGTATTAAAGTATAGCGATATCGTTTGGGAAAAACATTTAGGTTTACTCGAAAATAATGAATACGATGAAAACATTCATTACCCTTTACTTATAGAGTTGACCAAAACAAACAAGTTATAAGTGACCTTAGTACAATAATTTTTTAGTGTTTATGTGTATATTCGTCGAAAGAATTCCTACAAGTAAAACATACTCTAGTCTAATGTGACCTATTTTTACCTTGACTGTGATACAAAAAAAATTATACCAATTTCCTTATTGATATATAGTTAAATATCTCCTTTATGCTCATAGTAAAAAATTAAAAAATATATACAGGGTGTTCGAGAGAAAGTTGATAAACTTTTTCTTAACTTCTTTTTAAGTTTCCGATTTTTTTATATGTATTTACCGTTTCTTGATTTATTTCTTGTAGCACAAGAAAAAATCGAATTTGTTTTGGTGTTCCAGATCCTATTTTCGATGTAGATATACGTTTTTCTTCCTGTGTTAAAGTTCCTACTTTAATTTATTCATATTTTTCTTTAATTTTCTTCGTAAATTGTTGTTTTCTCGAATATGTGAGATTTGTAACCAAAGTATTTACTCTATATGGTGATTTTGTTATATGGAATCGCTTGTACTGAAAAAAAATTTAATTATTAAAGCTAATACTGGAGATTAAATCTCGATCAAGTTTATATAATCCTTATGAAACTTTGAATATGTCATAAAAAATAAATTTCTGTTAATTTTCGATATTACTACGTGTACAGTTTAGGCCATTTAACAGAATCACCTGGTATATTTATTATTAACTATTTTATAATCAAGTTATTGGAAAAATTATTAATGAAAGTTCAGGATGGGTTCCAAAATTGTTTTAAAATGTGCTAGAAATATATTCAAATGTAAACAAAAGCAATTTCTAAATAGGTGATAAAATGAAAGAAAATGTAGGATATTAATCAAATTGATTTTTTGGAAATTATTAAATCAAGAAAGATTCTTTAAAGCAACATCAATACATAGCATATTATACAGACTGATTTAAATCTCTTTGTTTGCATTTGAGCTTTGTATTCTAAAACTTATATTTCGACTCATCCTGTAAAAGATAAATTTTGTTTCGTAGTCAATTGCGTCGTAGCATAAATCATTAAAAAATGATGATAATCTAAGATTCTAAGAAAATACATATTTGCATATTAAATAAAAATATCTACAATTATATTAGGAATTGTCTTATCACACATTTCACGTTGATATCTAATATTATTACCAAAATATACATCTGCCAATAAATGTATATTTTATAATCGCACGTCTGATACTAAAATAAATTTATAGAAAGAAACGTTAAATGATATCTAGTTGCCGAAACGTATGGGGCCACATGGAATTTCTAACAGCTCTTATCTAGTCAATTTACCTATATTTATACACAACACATCCGCTTGATGATAAAATTAACTGTTCTTTTTTTTTGATTACCAGTTAAAATATTTTCATAGATTATATACATTAGTATGTTTTTAGTCGAACTTTAGTCTTGTTTGATTTTGATTATTATTATTTTTGAATAGAGAAAAAAATATTTGTGTATTATTAGTTTCTAGTCAATTTCAAATCTAGTCTATTAACTATTTATTAATCTTAAAGACATAGTTTTTAGTAATTTTCCCTCTTTCTCTGTGTTAGATAGTTTAGAAGAAAACTTTTAGATTCCTCTTATTTCCAAAGAACTGTGCCCATTCCTGTTGTATCGAGTGATCATAAATAATTGCATTTACAGGTATTATTATTATCACATATCCTGATATAATTCTTCATTACAATTTTTTTAAATTTTTAAAGAAACATAGAAATAAGCAGTACTCCTAAAGATTAAAAAATTCGATTATATCACTTTACAGTTCCAAAAAAATAATTAAAATGAATCACAATATCTTTAAAACAATAATTTTTGATCACTCGGTATTATCAAAAAAAAATATGATTAGATACTCATTTTTAATATCTTTCTTGTGTATTCTAACTCAGTATTTGCACTTTTTCCTATGTGATCCGTGTATCTCTTATTGTAACTTATATTAATTGCTATAATTACAGAAAACGTTATTGTAAACTTTGGATTGTTATTAAAATCGTTCAAATAAAGATGTTGTTTTATTTCTTTACTTAATTATTTATGATGGTATAGGATGTCACAAAACTCAGCAAGCTTTAAAACATTTAATGTGTTGATTATGGAAATATCACAATGGATTACTAATCCCTAAATTTCTTACAATCAGGTTATTGATTCAGGTGTCATATTTAAAAAAGAACTCACTGGAATTAGCACCAACTAATAATTGAAATAATATTAGATAACGTATATTGTAATTCCTACTTCAAAAGGATATATATCTTGTTTATCCTACTATGCATCAAAATTGGACAAACTAGGCAGAACCAATACAGTAAAAGTAATATAAAAGTAAAAATCAACCAATTTGAAAGGTATCATAAACATAAAGAATCAAAAAAACTCAACATAACCCAAACAAATCTATCCCAACTTGTTTTAAAAGGTATTATTGAAAAAATGTATTGATAGGGTTTAACCAAAATAACTCAATTCAAAGAATTTAAGTCTCAATTAATATTGATAAATAATAAATTTTATGTTTTAGGGCTGATTATTGGAAATCTCAAGCTCGAAAATATTGCGAGTTCTGTAAATGTTGGATTGCAGATAATAAACCGGTAAGTATGCTCTAACATCAATAAATTGATGTTAGATGAAACTATTTTTTAGAGCGTTGAGTTTCATGAAAAAGGTCGACGTCATCAAGATAATGTAGCAAAAAAGTTAAAATATATTACGAAGAAAACTAGACGTGATGAAAAGGAAAGCCTTCGAACGGACGTTATGCTTAAACAGATGGAAAGCGCTGCGTTGGAGGCTTACAGAAAAGATGTTGAAAATAACCGCGATCTTTCATCGATAGAGATTAAGAAAAAAATGGAAGAAAATAATTTGGGTTTTGGTGCATCTTGTTATTCCGGATCAAAACATCAAAAACTTTGGAGAGAAGCAAAAAATGACGATGGAAAAAGTTATTATTATAATACAATAACAAATGGTAACAAAAAATGTTATTAAAAATTTTTTATACATAATTTTTATTTTAGAATCCATTTGGGAAAAGCCCAAAGAGGGTTATGTATCTTTAACAGATCAAATGAATGAAATAACTAAACAACAATTAAAATTAGTTCAAAAACAACGCATAGTCGACGCAAGAATGCAAGCGGAAGAGGAAAAGCGTGAAGCTGCGGAATTAAAGGCGGCTGAATTTAGAGAAAAAATGAAAGAAAGAAGAGTCGAACCCGAACCGGACATTTCAACAGTTGTTTCAGGACCGATTCTTGAACCGCCCACACCAGATCCATATGGACGATGGCAAAAAGTCGAAACGGTAACAACATCAACGATAGATCTTCAGTTACCAAAGCAAGATTTTGAGTATTTTCAAGTACCAACTTTACCGGAATATGAACCACCCCCGAAAGAATTTAAAGAAAAATCAGTGGAAAGTCTAGGAGGTGGAAAAGAAACGTTTAAAAAACGAAAATTTCTCGGGAATGCTAAAAAGAATAGTCGACAAAGAGTTAATGATGATTAATGTTTTTTGTTTAATATTTTTTAAAGGCATTTCGTGAATAAAACTAGATAATTTTAACAAAAAATAGTTGATTATTAATTTACAGAATACATATTATACTTCTTAGGGCTAAAATAAGTAAAAAACTCTTTGTTATTGCAAAAAATAACAAAGTTTTTTTATACCTTTCAGCATTAAGAGCTATTTTTTATCGATCAAAAGATACTCTGTCAATAATTCTAGACTATTTCAAAGAAATATATTTATACAGAGTAATTATAAAAAGTGAGAAATCAAGTTAAAAGACGTTTTCGTCCATTATAACGCGAACATAACATTATTTTAATAAAACAATAACAGTTTTTGAGACTTATCCGTTTCATTACTTTTTAAAATACTCTGTAGGTTTTCTTAAATAACCTATTTTTTTCAATACTAATCTTGAGATGGTGAAGATTGCGTTGAAACGTCATACATATCCACCAAACCTTCTGATTCTAACAAGCAATAATTGTAATCTTCCACTCGAGGCAAAGGACTTAAAGGTAAGAAATCGTAATCATCTGCAATAAAATAAAAAGATAACAATAACAAACAATATTTATGAACTTCACAAACCATCTTCATCATCACCATCATAATGAAGGCTTTCATCTTTATTGCAATTTTTAAACACAACTTTTGCAGTGGCCAAATCTGAATCTTCATCGGATTCTTGTAAATCCTCTTTTATTAAAAGTTTTTTTGTAGAATTTTCGTTTCCGTTATCTGCGTCTGTTTTTTGCCGCTTTCTCTGATCTTGGGGAGGATCTGTTTTTACATTAGCTCGAATTGGAGCTGCCGATGATCGTATTTTTATACTATAAGAAACTTTGGGATCCTTAAAAATAATAAGTCTTAATAAATCTTAGTAAATTATGATTGTTAATTAAGATTTGATTAGTTAATTTTGAAATTAAACATACTTGAACTTGTACAGTTGAATTTAAAGGTGTATTAAAAGCAATTATAGTACTATCACCGTAACATTGCAAAAAATCATCACTTGTAACGTATAAATATTTTCTGTTATCTAAATCTTCAGTAATATTCTTAATGCTTTGTTCGATCCATAATCGGTGTCGATCTAAAATGTTCTCATAAGACTCCAATTTACTAAGTTCTGATTTTAAATTCAAAACTTTCCCAGCAATTTCTTGTGTGTTGCAGTTAGGTAATGTATCTTTATAAGTATATGGCCTTAAAATGATGATTATTAACCCATAAATTATTAATTTACAATTTCGTAACTTACTTCCATTGTATACTATTTTTACTTTTCTTCTCGATTAATCCAATACCTTCCAGAACGTTGGTGATGTCGTAAATTCGACGCTTTTGTCGTACGGCGAGCATATCTGCAGCCTGTAACAGGTAAAAAGGATAAACACTTGGATTCTTTTAGAAGTTGAAGTGGTAATGGGTACTTACCAATTTTAGGTCCAAAACTCCGCCGTTTGCCTTTTGCAGTAAATCGACAAACTTTGTAGTAAGTAAACCCAATGATTTTTCGTATCTACTAGGAGGAACGTCAGCCATCGTATTCAAAACGGGCGAAAATTATTTGGAAACATCTCACCAAACACAAACTAAACCAAATTTACCATACACAAACTGTTCTTCTTCTTCATATTGATCAGCTCTGTTTTATCGGCCGAGATTTCGTTTTGAAATGTCATTTATGAAATAAAAATCTTTATTAAGTAATTATAAAATAACTTTATTTCGCTATATTAATCCAAAATCATTAATTAATTACAAAATTAATTAAAAATATAATATAATTAGTTTTAGCTTATTGTAATTTTGAGAGAAAATATTTATTTTTTAGCGCCATCTATTGTTAATATTCTTATCACGTCAAAAACATTGACGCTTGACAATTTACATAAATTGCAAATGGCAGAAGCTGTCATGTTGTCTTAAAAATTCTGTTATTTGTTAATGATATTTTGAAAAGTATCAATTTTAAACTGCCGTTACATGAAAAGTGTTGTTTTTTGAATCGGTAAAATAAGCTACAAAAATAAAAAATGGCAAAGTTAGTGGACGTTTATCATCCGTCAAAAACACTCAACAGGAGACAACTACCCTTAGTGATTGATGAAACTTTAACGGTAATCAAGTATCTCTTATCAATTCCACAATAATTTAACATAAAATACTTCCAAAATAACCAATTTGTTACATTGTCATGACGTTTCTGTTATGCATTAAGATTTGACCTACAAACTAAAAAACATAACATGTGATTCTTTTTAATATGTTTTTCATCTCATTCGGTGATTACGTTTTTAGATGGTGATGGATTTAAAGTCTGTGGGATTAGTATCAGATAACCAACAAGTAAAAGGTAAAGAACTCGAAGATTTTGTCCGTAAGATGAGTTTGTTAAATGAGGAAGAATTAAGTCATTCTTTAGAAGTAACTCGATCAGAAATACTCAAAGTTTTAAATCAGGCTGTTCCCTGTGTTGGATGTCGTAGAAGGTGATTATATTTATTTTATTTACAACTATACAGGGCGTTTCTAAGTTGATGTGAAAGATATCAAGGGGTGCTTTTTCAGCGAAAATTAAGGTTCAAAACTCCTTCTCCTCCAAGTTACAACCCTCTAAAGTTTGGGGAAAAAATTGTTTTTATTTAATAAGTCCACTATGGAGGAATTTAGAGGAATGAAATTTGACAGATAACTGTTGGTAATGAAATGACACCTATTGGCGATTTTTGTAACCCTAAAATGTTACTACATGGGGGTGAAAAAATCAACCCATATAATATTTTGCATCAGAACTTTTCAATGCGTCTACATTTTCTATCTAAAAACTTGATTTAACCCATTAAGTAACTGTCAACTTCTTTTTTTTTTGAATTTTTGACAAAAAATGTTAGAAATATGAACAAAATGTTTTGTCTTTAAAATATTTTATATTTAAAAAAAGTCCCAAATCTGAATTGTGGCTGGTTGCACAAAAAAATAAACTAATATGAAAAATTTTGATTTATATTATTTATACATATACAGGTGTCTCAAGTAACTGGTTCGTTAGAACTTTTTTAGGTTCCACTATTTGTACAGTTTTGAAATTTTGGTAGCATGGGTTGTTCATTTGGAACTTTCGATCTAAAATATTTTCAAGATGGGTGCCACTTCCGGTTTACCGGAAGTGGACCATACCTTGGTTATTTTAAATGAAATACTATAGTTTTTATTACACCTTTTAATTGTATGTAAAAAAATATGTTGACTTTCATAAAAGTTATTGGTACCTAGCGTCTTTCGTTTTCCAGTTATTTTGATTTTAAGTTTTGTTTGGCAAATTTCACCATGCTCTTTAAAACCCCATATCCCATCCAACGTCCATTCAAAAAAGCTCTAAATTGGCACGATTACTCTTCAGATACTATTAAATAGATTGTCATTTATTGTATCAGAGTATCTTATACAGGCTGGTCAAAAATTGAATTACCGTTTCTCCATATTCAACCTTAAGAAAGTCGAAAATTTTAATTTGACAGCGGTAGACCGGAAGTGGCGGCCTTCTTGAAAATATTTTAGATCGAAAGTTCCGAATGAATAACCCTTCCTACCAAAATTTCAAATCTCTACGAATAGTGGAACCCGAAAAATTTCTAACGAATCAGTTACGTGAGACACCTGTATATATTTATTGTTATAATGATTTATTATACAGTATGTCCGTAAAGTAACGGATAAAGGCAATAAAATCATTATAAACGGTTTATGGAAAAATCGCTGAAACGAGTCTAAAGATTTAAATTTTTTGCAATTGTTTGGTGTAGATTTTAAATTTTTTCCGCCATTTTTAAGCGAGTTATGACGTCATCGGTATTTTTTTCAAATGGCAATCCAAAATTTTTATTACGGAATATGAAAGAAGATTTTTTTTGAAACCAGTACAGTCAATATTAATATTGCTTAGGTACATAAGAAAATTTTCGAGAAAAATTACTTTAAAGTTTAACTACTTCAGATTTGTTAACATGATGACAATAGCAGTAGCCATGAGTAACTATGGTAACCAATTATTTTAAACAATTTCCTAAGTGTCAAAAACTGATTTAGAAAGTATTTGACCTGAGTCTAGCTGACTAAATATAAACAACATGTTCATCTCTCGAAGTGTGGCCTACTAAATGTTTCAGGCGAAGTTCAACAAAACGTGGTTTTGGCTGGGCAAGAAAACCCTCATGCTACTGTAAGGAGTATTGGGTCTAATTTGGACATTAGTAAATTAACGGTTCATAAAATTTTAAAATTCGCAAAATTCATTCCCATAAAGTAAACCTGATTCACGAGCAATGAATCGTTGTTTTTGCAACGATGACGAAGACTTTGTCAAAAACATAATTTTTTCGACAAAGGGACATTGAGTGGACAAGTAAATAGACAAAGATTTGAGGAAACCTTTACTGGAAACAGATGTTTAAATTTTTTCAAAGCTATGTCATTTCTTCCATCCTGATAATGTTGACACAACTCAATTCTAACGACAGTTATTCTAACAAGATGACGCGTCACCACATTTCAAGAAGTTTTACTAAATCAGTTTTTTGACACTCAGGAATTTGTTTCAAATAATTGGTTACCATAGTTACTCATGGTTACTGCTATTTTAATCATTATTAATTTGAAGTAATTAAACTTTAAAGCAATTTTTTTCGAAAATTTTAACGAAACACTGTATAACCAAAAGTATCTGCTATTTATGAAATTTTCCATACACGCCACATCTAATCCTATATCACATCTACTACATTTTTTTCTCACATTCGTTTTGCGCAGTGCGCATTTTCTTTGTTTTCCTTCAACACTTCTTCGTAAAGAATGTCCTGTTGCGTCTTTTCTTATGGTTTAAAGCACACGTTTTGAAGCTTCTCTTTGTAGAGATTCTTTGGTTCATTAACTGTATTAGTAGATTTATTTTGAAACCTGGATCTGCTGTCTTATTAGTGAGGAGCTCGGAATTATCATTGAAATGAAGATACTTTTTATTTCTAAATATCTATTTCTAGAAAAACATTTTCTTACAACTTCAAAGCATAAATCTCCATATTCACACCAATGCATTTGCTCTTGTGATAATGAATGGTATCAAGTAAGCAATAAAAATCCCACAAATTTTCTCAAACAATTTGTTGAAAAGGTAGAATCATGTTTGTTATTTTGAACGGCGTATGTAAAGGCCACTTTACAGTTTGCAAGTTTCATTGCGTTATTTTTGGTATTCTTGTAGTTGCAGATGATAGGTTTTTTACATATATTTCTTGCAGTTGCGCTGAAAGTATGGTGAGTTTTCTGGTTACTTCTTGTGTTGCCAACTGTAAAATATTAACCTGTTTTGTTAACGATTTGTATATGTACATGTGCCTCAATCTTTCAAAAAATATGTGTTGGCAGTATTGATTGCAACTGAAATATTGCAGTTAAAAAATTGCCAAATGTAAAGTTAGTCGCGTTAGATATTGCCGCAACAACTTCGTGCAAGATACCTTGATTGCAAGAAAAATTGTTTACTGTAAAGTGGCCTTAACACTTTGTTTGAGTATATAAGTCATTATTTCTTCATCAAAGAGTGTTTCAAAAACCTCAACAGGTAACTTTCCTGTTAGTGAATGCTTTATTTGTGACCGAACTGTCTCAATGTCATCATTATTTCTGAGTATTTTCACGAAGTCTAGTTTTATTTTTTGTCAATCTAAATTTTTTCTCGACTTTTTATATTAGTTCTTTTCAAACGTTTTTGTTCAGTTGCAGTTATATTATCATTATCTGGTTCTGTGCTCGTAGAAGCTATGTTGAGAGCATTCAAGTGAATTTCTAGCTTGCTGGGAGTATCTCTGGGACAGTTATCTTCTAATACATTGTCATCTATATCTTCGGTTCCTGAAATCGTATCGACCTTGTCGGGAGGAACTTCAATAATATCAATAATAACATCATCGTCACATTCTATAAAATTAGGGTTGTTTATAATATCTTCTAATAAAGTTCTACTTCTATAAGTCAAAATCTTCTTGGTACTCATCACATAAGAAAAAAATCTATAAAAGGTGAAAATTAAATAGTAGGATTCAATATGCAACTTTTTTGTCTCTTAATAGAGTTTTCCCGGGTGTTTGGTAAAAAAAGTGTTTAAACCAATTAATGGCAAGATCGGATGTTAATTTCCATGATTTTGTTGCAAATACAGCAATATTGTCTGCTTTGTGCAAAGCTTTTACATGCATGAGTTTCCATGATTTGTTACTGTTAAGGGTAGTTTTAGCTGCTGAAAAATCATTCCTTGAAATATTTTGCATCAATTTAGAAACACTTGTATAGTAACGTAATTTAATTAATTAATTTAATTACAGTGTTGAGCGATTATATTATCAATTATTTAAATATGGACATCCAACATTAGATCCATTAGTTGTAAAAAAAGATGGAATTATAACCGTGCGAGAAGATAAACAGAATTCACCCCAGTTTTTGTGCAATTTATTTCATGGGCATAGGTAATAAATTTCTTTTATAAACAAAGACGTGTTTTAAAAAGTTTTTTTAGTACACGACTGAATCATGTAGTCGATAGTCAACCGAGACGCAACAAAAAAAGTCATCGTTGTTTATTACATTCCCTGGATACCCAAAGAAGCCGTCCTATAACTCCCGCCTGGCGAGACGTTTGGGAGTGTATGCGATTGGATTGTAAGAAAAAAGTGTGTACCATCGAAGAAGCTAGTCTACATACGACTTTAGAAACTTATTTAAGAAAACATAGGTTTTGTAGTGAATGTCGTACTAAAGTTCTTAAAGGTACAATCGCTAATTATTTCATTTAAAAAAATTTTTTTTTTATTTAATTTTATTTAGCCTACAGTTTATTAATAGAAGATTCGAAATGTAATGATAAAGGTTACGTTAAAACATTATACAACGGAATAACCCATTGCAAATCAAAACACATCCATCTAAATCCAGAGACTGAAGTCATCCCGAAATTAATAAGCCGTGCCGAACCGGAATTATTGGGTAGCAGAAGAGAACGTCACGCAAAAACACTCGAAATTGCTCAAGAGGAAGTTTTAACATGTATAGGGATTTGTATGTACGAAAGACTTCATCGTATTTACATACGCATGCGTGAAGAAGAATGTACATGTCAAGTTTTTGCAGCGGTTGCAATCGACGCTTTATGGACGAGTTTTGAAACCGCTGTAGAACACAAACAAGGAATTTCTCAATTAGAATTACTCTACGCGGAATTAACGCGAAAAGAACAACAAAAACAATTACGTAAAGAACAGAAAAAATTGAAAAGGAAACGTAAAAAAGAAAAATTAATGGAGCAGCATTTTAAAAGTTGTGATGGTTGTGATGGTGAAGAAGAAATGGATGATGATGGGAAGATATTGGATGAGGAAAAAATTTGTACATGCAATGATACGTTTTTGAAAATCAAATTAAAAGAAAAAAGTACTGCGTGTGATGAATGGTTAGATTGCAAATGTAATCATACTGGGATGAAAAATGGAAAATGTGATGATTACATACAAAGGAAATTTATGAAAGAAAGTAGTTCATCAAGTGATCATTCCCATGATTGTGGATATTCTTCTGAAAATAATAATGGATGTTGTGAATTTAATTCGTTTGGATCAAGTTTACCTAGTTCGCCAGAAGGATCAGAAGTTGCTTGTCCTGATGGTTGTTGTGAATCCGAAAATGATTATATTCCATATAATAGGTTTACTTATGGAAATGGGCATCAACTTAGTTTACAAGAAATGTTAGATGTAAGTAATAACTTAATTACCGACATATTTACAAATTTATATCTATTCATTTTTTTATTTAAAAAAGATGTTAAAAATTTGGAAGAAATATTTAGTTTTTATCCTAACCTTGTTTAGTTTCAACAGTTACCTTAACCCATGTATGCCTAATACAGTGGTAAAAAATATATAATTATCAGAACCAGATTTTATGAATAAAAATTGATGGAGTTATTGAAAAAAATAAGCCACTACATTATAGAAAATTTAGTCCGTCTGCTAATCAAATATCAATAACTTTTTTGTTTTTAAAGCCTTTGAAATTTTGTATGAATATTCAACATTACTTAGGCCCCAGCAGGCCCTTTGTACATCCCTTCAATATACAGTTCATTTAGGTGTCAGAAAACAAGCCCACGGTTTTAATGAACCTTAATATAGAACAGAAGGGTATGCTCTTTATTTTCGAAATTTGGGGCCATGGTATGTCAAAAATGGATTCCCTTACGTACGCGAGGTTGGGACAGTCACAAACAATATGATTTACCGTCTCGCCTTCCATTTCACACACTCTACAATGGTGTATGTTCTCTAGCTTCATGTAGATGGGTGAGAACCAAGTCACTTTTTGATTTTCCCAGGAATTTAGTTGACCTCTTCCGGTCAGGGTAGAGCAGAGTTTTCTTTGCAAAGACATCTACTGCGTTTTCATCTCATCTATCGCAAAAAGCTGGATGGGAGATGAAGTTGATCAGCTTTGATGCTGTATTAAAGTGCTTTCCGCCACTTTATCGTGACATTGTTATAAACATTAGCCTCCTGAAGTGATTGCCAATAGGATTTTATTAATGATGATGTAGTTCGATGCCTCCTAAGCATTAGCATAGCCTGTCTGCCATCAGTGCAGATTACAACGTTTCTGCCAACTTTTTTGGAGTCGATGATTAGCGTTTTAGCTGTGTTAAAGTTGTTCTGGGGTATCGGCCAAAGTGTGGCCTGTTTCAGAAAGTAGGTGTGATGTAGTCTGTGTGACCTTCAAGGAGAGGTTGATTCCGAACAGTCTCACTCCAGAGTTCCCTACGGACTATTCCGATTTTTGCAACCTGCTTATTGTCCACTGATCGCAATCGAAGCAACGCCATCTCCCTGATAAAAATATTTAGGGGCAGTACGTACAGCATGTCTCCATCGCGATTATGGGTGTCAATCTCATGGCGCCCATAATTAACAGGCAGGCTAGCTGGTGCAGCAATTTAGCCTTATATGCATGTTTTAGTACTAAGCACCAAACTATGGGTCCGTGGGCTACCACTGGTCTTATCACAGAAGTGAATACCTATATATATAACATTTTCTAATAGATCTAAAAAATACGAATTCAATGATACCTCGCAATTAATAAAAATTGGGCTTAATGCGGCGCGCGCAACATTTCAAGGAAGCTCCGCCTCTCAGTTTTCTCGCAGAATAGGCAACCAGGTGAATAAACGAACGGTATGGGTATCGGTACGCGGTTGATTCTACCAATGGCATAATATCTCTCATTTTTCAAGTGTGTTCAGGTTTATAATATGTAAAGAAAGTATCACAGTACAAAAAAAGTATCTACTCTATTTCTCGTTTCTCTTGGCGGGGCGATCTTGCATTGGTGACAATGGCGCTTGCTTTCGATTCTTTACACAGCATTTGATTTCATTATATTACTAGAAAATAACTTAACATGTAATCATTAGGCGAGACCAGGGTAATTAGGAGATCATTAGGCATACATGGGTTAAAATAATGTTTATAACCTTAAATTCAGATTACTACTAACCTATATATTTAAATTATGATTTAAATTTGACCAAGAATATTATTTTTCTAGGATCATTTTTATAGCGATGATGATAGTGATTGTTATATAACGCCTGAAGAAGTGCAAGAGTTCAAAGTGAACAATAGTAGAGTGTATGAAATGCGTCAACAGTTAAGGGAAACGTTACAAAAGCGATTCGCACAGTTATGCGTCAATGGACCATTGCAGGTGCCAAGATTACTAACTCCGACGAAATTCATCGCAAATTAGATACTCTTTGTTTAAAGCGCGCTATAGATAAAAGAAAAAGTTCAGTGCAAACGAAAAAAAGTCAAAGTTGAAATCGTTGATATTTTTTTAAATGTTTCTTTTTGTTTTTCAGTATCTTAAAGGGGTTTCTTTTTTTTTTCTTCTTATTTTAAGAATCTATTTTTAAAAATCAATTTTTTTTTCAGTCTTTTTTGTCAGTTTTCTTTTTGTAAAAATGTTTTTTAGTGTGGATCATAAAGATACTGTTGATTTTTTGATCTCCATTTGTTACATTAGAGTAATGAAAATTCTATTCTTTTTGGATATTATAATGGGAACTTTAAATGTTGCATTCCAAGAAGGTTTTATTGTTAATAGTTGTTTTATCCTCCTTTTTGTATGGTTGTGCTGTTTGTACATACAGCATAGAATTTACTGTACGTAAAAATCCCGAAATAAAAATTTCAAAAATGGATTGATTTATTTTTTGTATTTAAACTATATTTTATTAACTAACATATTGTCCAATACATAAACTAGCATTAGTTCCGCCAAATCCGAAAGCATTTTTAAGCGCAATTCTCCGATTCGTTCCATCCCATTTTGTATTTTTCCCATTCACAAAATCCAAGTGAGATTCTTCTGGGCTCTCTAAATTTATAGTTGGGGGAATAATTCCTTCTTGTACTGCTTTAACTGTGAATAAAGCCTCCAAATTTCCAGCAGCTCCTAATAAATGTCCATGAGCACCTTTTGTTGAAGAAACCTTCACTTTTTTTCCATCCCCAAACAAATGTTCTATCGCTTTTGCTTCAATTCCATCACCAAGTGGAGTTGAAGTAGCATGTGCATTAACATAACCAATCATTTCTTTGTTAATTTTTGCATCCCTTATTGCTCTTTCCATTGCAAACATAGCTCCTGTTCCATCACCTCTTGGTGCTGTTAAATGTGAAGCATCACCAGATAACCCATAGCCTAAAATTTCCGCATAAATTGGAAATTTATTATTTTTTTGTCTTTTTAAAGCATGCTCTAATTCTTCAAGTACTAATATAGCGCTTCCTTCGCCCATCACAAATCCTTCACGACCTTTATCAAATGGTCTTGATGCTTTTTCAGGTTGATCATTATAAGAAGTGCTTAAAGCTCTTAATCTACAAAATGCAGCAATTGAAAGTGGTGATATACAAGCTTCGGTACCACCACAAATCATTACATCTGCATCACCATTACGAATGAATCGAAACGAATCTCCAATCGCGTGTGCTCCTGTTGCACAAGCTGTTGAAACTGAATGGTTTGGACCTCTAAAACCATATTTTATACTAATTTGACCTGCCGCCATATTTGCCAAAATTCTTGGCACAAAAAATGGACTGACTTGTTTGTAACTTTTATTAAACGACGCGTTTGTATCACAAATATCTGTTAAATCTACCATTCCCATTCCTACAGCAACACCTATATTTGTTTTTTCTTCTTCTGTTAATTCTAACAACCCAGCCTCTGTTAATGCTTCTTTTACTGCATATAAAGCAAAAGCTGTTGCAGGACTTATTGATTTTAATTCAGATTTACTAAAATGCTTGGTTAAGTCTATTCTGGAGCCATTTTCTTTGATTAATCCCGCTATTCGACAGGGTAGGTGACTGTATTCAGGTCCCTCCAATTTTGAAATTCCGGATTTTCCTGATGTGATGTTTAACCATGCTTCTTTTACTGTATTTCCAACAGGAGATAAGACTCCTAAACCAGTAACGACGACTCGACGATTCATTTCTTTTTAAGGAAAATCCTTAATTGATCATAATTTAAAAGGATAATTGCGTGGAGTTTTATACAAAATGAAATGAATTTTTATCTTGAATATAACCTAAAAATTTGACGAAATCTAACCTAGTTTATTTTAGAAATGTTATGGTATGTTATATAGGCAACCCAAGTAGTATGGAATTTTTGTAAATAAATCCTTATTTTAGAACATTTTATTTAACATTGTTATTTATGAAATTTTACTATTTTCTGTTAGAAGAAATGTTTAATATTTTGTAATGAAGTTTTGTAGTTTATTTTCAGGAAACGCCTCCGTTTAGAAAGAATGTGAAGAATCTTGTTATTTATTCCATAACTATAAGAAATATATCCAAACTACTTATATTTGTTAGCTACTTTTTTCTATCTCTTTTAGTTTCGGAGATAGGCAACGAATTTGGAACACCTGTAGAGGAAAAAAAGTCCCGTTGAGTTTTTATGCCATTCGTAGTAATTCAAGGGCCACTGATCATGAACAATATGTGGATTTATAAGTGTGAAATACCAGGAAATGTGTACTCAAAAAGATGGGATCATTAAAAAGATCATTATGAATTGTGACCTGAAGAATATAAATATGGCGAGGGCATCTGCTTTAAACCAACATAATGCATAAGAATTTTTGTAGCAACTATGAAGGGTTACAAAAAAAAATTGTTTTCAAGGTATTCGCATGAGGAACACTGAAGAAACTAGTATTTCTATCATAATGCTACGCCTAAGAGTTATTGTTGCAAGTGACAAGCTTGTTGTTAACTATCAAATAGAAGTTTGTTGAGTAAGGCGTTCAAACGGCGATTCCAAGGCATACAGGCCTATTAGCCTAACTTAATTTCTCCTCAAAGGGATGAAAAAGGTACTCGATCAATTCCTACAAAAGGTACCTTAGGAATGGAGTGCTTGTTGGCAAACCACTTCATCCAAGCCAACATGATTAACAGAAAACAAAATCAACAATTACTACTCTCCATGTATTGATGAGCAATTTAGAGGAGACAATTGCAGCCAAAGAGATAGCCCTATGTGCATTCATAGGCATAGAGGGTGCTTGTGATAACATCGCCAAATCCATAGAGAAAGCTCTAAACGTAGAAGGTATTCATCCGTCGACGAGTAATTGGTGTGTAGCCATACTGAAAAATCGGCAGATCACAGCTAGCTTGCAAGGCAAGTACTGACTATTAAGGCAGTTACAAGATGCTCCTAAGGGGAAGTACTTTCACCTCTCCAATGGTGTCCAGTAGTTGACGACTTGTTGAACATCCTAACAGAGAATGAATTCGCGAGTCGGGGATATGCAGATAACCAAAAAGCCCTACTACATACTAGTATTTATTGCAGAAATAGGGGCTCAGTATCAATAGGAACAAAGTAGAAATCGTCCCACTCAGAGAAGGAAGCTATAACTGAGAGTACCCTCCATTGAAGGTAGAGCTATTAACCACAAAACAGAAATCAAATACCTAGAGGTAATACTAGACAGTAAATTAAACTGGAATTCAAAACAAATCACAAGGCAGCGCAACAACAACTGGCACAAATCCAGCGGCTTATATTTGATATGAGATCTTGTCCGACAGCTGCTCTTGAAACCTTACACGGTGTAACACCATTTTACTTGTATATATAAAAGGAGCCAGTTTTGAGTGCCTTGTTACAAGACGTGGTCTTCACTCAAGCTGATGCAGGGAAACTTCAGAGAATATCTCGAAATCCTCAGCATTACCCAGGTCTAAACCACTTGATTCAAATTAAAACGGATCTTATACCGATACAATATAATTTCGACCAGTCGTATAAGGTCATGTTTAGAAGCAGGGAAGAATACACGAAGGGTGATGGTCAACTTAAAAGAGAAGCCCTGGCCTGGTACGCCGATGCTTCAAAGACAGTTGGATCCGGAGTAGGTATGGGCATCACCGGCACTGTATCGTTTTGAACCTTGAGACGGGGCGTAAAGGGGCATCGATAAACATCTCACATTAATGAAGTTACCCTATGTGGGTTGTAGGTCACAAAGACATTGTGGGTAATGAAAAGGTAGACAAGCTGGTCATTACAAGCTGTGAACTACAAAAAAGCCACTTAAAACAGGTGATTACCAGATGGGAGGTAGCCTTGCGCTGGAAAGAACTTCTAGGACGCAGACAAGCGTCCAAGAAGTATAAGAGTATAATAACTCGTAATGTCGCAAAAGAAAACTAAAGAGGTTTTATGCCTCAGCAAAGGAAACCTAAGGTCATTAATATGAAAAAAAATATACATGGACTCAGCTATTACAACCTTCTTTCATTTCATCATCCTTATTTCATCATGATATTTCAATTCGTTCTTAAGATACGATTTTTTAAATTTTTGCTCGTAAAATCTCTAACAATCAAATGGATAGAGTTCGGTTTAAAAATTTATAACAACGATGCTTGTGAAAAATAAGAAATTATTTATGGTAAAATCTCTATTAAATTTGCTTCAAAACATTCATTATTTCATCATTATATCTCAAATCGTTCTTGAAATATAATTTTTTAAATTTGTCTTCTTAAAATATATGACAATCAAATGGACATAGTTGAGTTTAAAAAATTATAATAATGGTGTTTATGGAAAACAACAAATTATTTATGGCATACTAAATCTTTAATAAATTTGCTGCAAAATGTTTCTTATTTCATCCTAATATCTCAATTCGTTTTTGAGATATGATTCTTTAAATTCTTAGTCTTAAAATCTGTAATATTAAAATGTAGAGAGATGGATTTAACAAATTATAACAACGATGTTTATGGAAATTAAGAAATTATTTATGGAACATCATATCTCTAATAAATTTGCTTTAAAATGTTCTTTATTTTGTTATGATATCTCAAATCATTCTTAAGATATGATTTTTCTAATTTTTGTTTTTAAAATTTGTAGCAATGATATGTGTAGAGTTTATGGATCACTAAATCTCTATTAGTTTGCTTTAAAATATTCCTTATTTCATGATGATATCTCAAATCGCTCTTGAGATATAATTTTTTAAATTCCTATTCTTACAATCTGTAAAATCAAATGTACAAAGTTATTATCGAATTTTTTAAATATTCTCTTTTTACAGATCTTTTTTGTTGTAAATAAATTTTATTAAATAGAGTAGTGAAGGTATTAAATAAAAGATAACCCATATTCATTTACAATATAAATGATTAGATGAAACAAAATATTCTTAGCTATCATTAAAATAACGATGGATTAAAAAGTTTGTAATTGAGACGTTGATGACGCTGCTTTAGTTTAAGAATTCTTATCAAATTATGTTTACGAAAATTAGAATATGTCTATAATATTAATGACAAATAATTACTATCTAATTTAGTTTACAAACGGTAATGATATTTATATTATAAGAAATATGCTTATTTTACATAATTATTTTATTTTGAAAAAATTCTATTTTTTAACTAATTTTGTTATCATTTTCATTTTTAGCAAACACTCATCTTCACACTATCCGGAAGAAATTATCAAAATTAATGCATAATATCCAAAAATAAATCAACTTTTGAAAATATTTAGATAACCGATTATGATTCGAGGTCAACCATAAATGATTATTTCGAAAATGGAAAAAACAACTTTACTCATTGCTATTTTTTGTAATGACTAATTTCCATATTTCCGTTTTAGTTATCAAAAAATTAAAAAAAAAATTTTTAACTTTAACTTAAACCATAAACGTGATTTAAAGAGACAACAATTTCTCGCTTTATTTTATTTCAACCTCCTTCTCCATCCCCAATTTCCATCGATCCAAAGAGGTTGAAGGCGCAGACGCACAATAAACATTCACTGCATCGGTCCTGCATGAGATATTTAGACGGTAAAATGACGGCAGGACTCATGGTTCGTCTCTTCGCCTCCACACTACAAGTACCAAGTGTTACATTTGTGAATTAGTGAGAGAAAATATTGCGAATAGTGAGAAAATATTTTTATTTTTTTTGAAATGATGATCAAGATTTTTGAAAATATTGTCAAAAATTAAAAATCTTACGAAATGGGTAACACTCAGAGTGAAGGAAAATTGACGAAGGGCGTTAAAGGAAAAGGTTTGAAGATAATCAGAGGTAAACGAGGAAAATCTGAGGAAACTCAATTCACTTCAATCGTTCCTAATGATCAAACGTATCCAACGATTGATCATTATGGTAACAGTAAAGAAGAAAAGGAAAAAAATAATATTGAAGATTTAAAAATTATTGATGCATCCCAACCGGGAGAAGATCAAAAAAACTTGAAAATGCAAGAAATTCTGACGACCAGTGAAGAATCAAATTCGGAAACACCTGTAGGATTTTCAACTGAAATTAACCAATGTTATTATAGCGAAGAAAGCGGATTATCAGAAGTTGAAGTACCAGATAATATTCATGACAGTTTTCTGCACAATTTAGCCCTGAACAGTTTTAAATTGAATGATCATAAATTACGTAGAGAACAGGTTTTGACGGATAAAATGAGTAAATTGGGGGTTTCTAAAACCAGTCAGATTAGTTTGGAGTCGGATCCAAACGAATCCTTCGTCTCCGACAATGTGGAAATTGTTACAAAAGTTATGATGATGTCCGATTTTGACCAAAAAATGAGCGGGGAAAGTGGTATTTCACCGGATGTAAGCGGGGAATTTAAGGAGGATGGGTTTTCAAAAAACGAGGAAATCCTCGATGAAAAAGAAGATAAGAAAAGTCAAAAATTACAATCAATTTCACCAACAACCCCAACTGGTAATTATTTTAATATTTTTATTAATTAGTTTTTTCAAAACTATTGATGCAATTTAAATTGTTATCAAAAAACTCATGAATTTTTATGGCTTTCAATGACACCATTTCTTCATTGACACAAATAACAGAAACAAAAATAGAATATGCATTATAAAAATAAAGTAATCAACGTTTATTTATGAGAAAATATTCTAAAGATATAATTTTTATTACGTTTTTAAAACAACTCTTTATTCTAACTTTATTATTGTTTGAATTTTAACAAAATCACGTTAAATTTTGTTTTAACTGTTCATATTTAATGTGGTTTTTCTCTATTACATTTCTTTATATATAGTACAGTAAAACCAAAATATAATGAATTAATACGGAGAAGGGAGTGTCCGTTATATAACAAATTTTTAATTTGTGCTTTGCCGTGCATATTTTAAGACGGCTAAACCCGAAACTTTCTAGTTCTAATCTGAAGATGCACGGCTAAACCCAAATATTTCTAGTTTATGCTTAATGTTAGTTCTAGTTTTAGTTCAATGACAAATATATAACAATCTAACGCTGAATAACAACTAAAACTAGAACTAACACTACCACTAGAACTAATAGTAGACCTAGAACTAGAAACATTCGGGTTTAGCTGTCTTAAGAGACGTATGGCTAAACTCGACTTTGGCTAAACTCTACTTTTAGTTCAATAGAAACATATAATAATCTAGCTCAGAATAACAATTAAAACTACAATTACCGTCCTTGATTTACGTACATAGTTACAACTCGGGGAATACCCCGAGATCTGTTATATCGAGGTTTTACTATAATTATATATACATATAACTAATTATTTAAAAATATTTTAAGCAACAAACATTATTATTTCATTTTAATAGGTTATGTAGAATACAAACGGTTCAAATCGGAACCTGGAGAAAACTCAAAAATTGTAGCGGACAGTTTAGTTTTGAAGAGAGTCGCTTCATTGTCACTTTCTACACCAGATAAATGTCCTTTTGAAGTGTCCAGGCCAAAATTCGTTCCGGAAAAGCTGGACTTCAAATTATATCAAAAGTTTGAAGGTAAGAATGTTACAGCTGAAATAATTGTGTTTAACTTAATTTATAACCCATAAAGATTCGCCCCTTCTATCGAAATGAGTCATTTGATTAGATTTTTGGGGGAGAACAACGTAAATTCTATTACTCCCATGAAAATAGAGTGTCAACTTAGCTATTTTACCCTCTTTTCTATTATATATTTATATGAACTGGAACTTTATTGATTTGTTCTCTAAAATTTCTTGGAAATGGAACCAACATCATCACAATCTTCTATGTGATTTATGATTCGTACTATAAAAATCGCATTTCAGTGCCAAGTTTTAAAATATAAAATTAAGATCTTATGTAAGGAAATAATTCTTTATCTCTTTTTATAAGTACATGTTGTATTAACTTTAAGATATTTCTTTCCATATCCGTTACATCTAACTTCTGTAGAGTTGAGATTCAACAAGAAGATTACCTCGCGCGTTATATTTAAAGTAAAATGTATTTTTGGGGGAAGATATAATTTTAGAGCATCGGTTTGAGGAGTTATTTTCGAAAATAGAGGGTTGAAGCTCTATTTTTGTGACGGGAAAAGACATAAATATCACTTAATTTCCTGTCCTTTTAAAAAATAATCTAAGTTAGAAGACCGAATTTATTTAATTTATTTCTGCATAACACAGTTTTATGTTTATTTTTAAATAAGTAAATATTCTGATAACGTCATGATAAATAATAAAAGCAATAAAAATATAAAAAAATCTTGCTTATTACGTACGGCAACGTCGGCAAACATCGTCATCTTTTAACGATAAAATCATCAAAATAAAATAAAGCCATACGCACCGATGACATTGCAGCATTGAATGCTTTCCCGAAAACATTTAATTTGTTAATCAAACCAGTGATTCACACACAGTTCATGCACATATTCAAAAAAGAAAAAATTAAACTCATTTCATTGTTTATAGCATAAAATATGCTTTGAGGCGTGTATCCGGTGCGGGTGATTTTTTTTCAACGTCAGTGCGTTTATTCGCTTGCCTTCGTTTTCAGGTCACATGCTGATAAATTGGTTGATGGCAGAAGAAAGTCTTAAGATTCTTGCTGGTTTACAAGATTTGAAAACTATAGCAATACAGTTTTGTACTCATCTTTTAGCAGCAGGTGTTTTACAACAAATTCCAGATAAGGATACACCTATGTTTACTATTTTCAAGGTAATACATTTTTATATATAATGTAAGAAAACGTTTGATATTTATTTTCTTTAACAAATAGGATTTTTCAAAATGATTATTTCCTTTTTGTTAAAAATAAATTTCAAACCTTTATGAAAATAAATTACACAATTTAAATTGAGTTTCGTTGTAAACAACATCAACAATGATTTATTTGGAATATGCGAAAATATTTATCTGTAATAATAATAATTAAAGATTTCATATTCGATAATTAAAGTCCATACTAGATTAAACTGAAACAGAAATTAACGATAATTCAATGATTTTTTATGAGGTAACTTACAGAATAGTTTTAAAATAAATCTATTTGGCAATTAAGGGCAAAATAAATGATTGAATAATACCTGTTAGACTGCATAAATTGATGGATATCCACTTTGAATGCTCCCGAAGGTATATACTTATGGTTCCATCATGATATTGATGGATAGTTACATAATTAAGTTGTATTTGTATTATTATCATTCCTACTTTCAGTTAATTTTTACAAATTAACTAACAATCATCTCTTATCTAAATCAGTGTTCCACAATAACACTTAAAGCATCGTAGTCATAGATGTAAAATTATTGAGACGAAGTACCGTATTTTCTCGAATCTAATCCGGACCCTTTTTACAAATTTTGTATGCGCTAAAATCAAATGCGGATTACAATCGGATGTGGATTACATTGGAAAACCAACTTTTTTTACCATCATTGCATTGTTAAAATCGAGGTGCGGATTAGATTCGAGTGCGGATAAGATTCGAGAAAATACGGTATATGGTGATAAGCAGTACATGTAATGACATCTAGAAAAATTGAGTTTTGATTTAGGTTTCAAGTTCTGCCAGATGATGTAATTTCTCCAGCACATTTCTTGAAAGCGTTGAAATAATATTTCATGTGTATGATGATGTATGCAGTGCTGGGTCGGGTTATAGGGCTACTGGTCATGTTTCTATGACGGAGTTGAGAACTTCAGCGTGAGTAAGCTTGGAGCTATGCTGCACCTTCTCCCGTTTAACATTATCCTTTCATTCAGCGGCAGTCTTAATCGCTACAAATAGAGCTGCGCATCGCCTTACTGAGTAGAAAATTTAATCGGATATACGAGACTTTAGGTGCATAGACAGCGTGCTTTAGGAACATAAAAGGCTTTGATACCTTTTTGCTTAAATTCATCTCTTTGATGATTCGCGGTGAACCGACTTGGTAACTGTTTGGTTGAAGTTCAGTTCCTTGATACTTCCTAGATCTTCGTTGTAACCAAATTTCTGGACATGACATAGCAATGTGGTACGTTTTTCATTGAACGAAGTAATATATCTAAGGTAAAACCATCAATTAGGCTGGATACCAGAAAATGTTGTTTTTAAGCTGTTTTTTTACATCGACGTTGGGGCCTCTGTTAATTACCGAGGTCATCCTCATATATTTGGCTGAAGAATTCAAATTCAATTTGGGTTTATGGGACAACCGTTTGTCTTAAAAAATGTTTAATTTTGAATTCTAATTTTATAAAACGGTAGATGCTTATCGAAAAAGACACTACACTTAGCATAGAATTATTAAAGGATTGTGACTTGTTTGATTACAAGATATAACACAAGAGCGATTCCCATAAAAATAATGTTACAAAGTAGCGTGGAACCTAATATTATGGTAAATTATATGCAATGTATGGGTAGCGTTATTCAAACAGATCAATACTTATCGACGTATTACATTCAATAAAAAGAAAATAAGCTTAATTTAAAGCTATTTTTTTAATATTTGGATTCTTCTTGCTTACCATTGTATTAGATATTATTAAAGATAATTTAGCACTTAAACAATGGAAAATTGATTTATTTATCTGGCTTTACCAAAGCCTTTAATCATATTTTTTTAATGTTCAAGATAGTCACTCTGAGTTGTTTTTTATATTTAGTTGAAATTTTACATTCCGCAGAAATGGTATGTTACATAACCATAATAACGTAATTAAATTACATAAAAATCATGAACTTTTTTATAATTGAACGAAATTTAACAAAATTTTAATAAACTATATTTTGTACTTTCTGGTTTATTAGCTTAACAAGTTACGACTAAAATTATTCAGATTTATAAACATGTTGCAGAATTATTATATTTTCACTTATATTAACGCACTGTATATGATAATTTTTCATACACTTGTCTCTACATGCTATATAATTGTCTTGTCTACTAATGTTTTTAAAACACACCGCGCATTCAATCGCCATTATAGCAATTATCGCCACGATTAGGGGTACAGCTACATGCACGCAATTAAAAGGAATTATACAGTATGCTCATTTGGACGTTTGTGGTTTACAACCGACTACAACAGAGAAAGAAATTGAGGAATATTTACGAGGAAAAAATATTAATAATATAAAATGCGAAAAAATTACGGCAAAAAAACCGGATGCAAAATTTCAGTGCCAAATAATTACCTAGAGAAAACAAAACAACCCGAATTATGGCCATCCGGAGTACGAGTAAATCGTTTTTTAGAAAGAATCTACTAGAAGAGATTATGTAAGATCAGTCATCTTTAGCACATATATCTTCTGTCTTGCTCTATTTCCATAATAGCACGCAATAGCATTTAAAATTTCGCGCATAATATAGAAGGAGCCGAGAATAATGATACAGTAAAGATGCTTGCAGTAACATTTATATGGTTGTCTTTCAGGTAGATTCAGGGGTTGTTTCTTATTAAATTTCTTTTACATTATTTGCATTAAATTAAATTAAAATTACATTAAATTTTAGTTTTAAAGAATTTTTAAATTTAATTTTTTTTTAAATTGTATAGTCTCAATTAATTGAAATAATAATTTTCTACATGTTCTTATGATTAATGAAACCGATGACTAATTATTACATATAACAAGAATAAGTACGATAGATTGCTACATAATCTGATATAATCAAAAAATTATTGATAAATTTAATTGTAACCGTTTATATGATTCATTCAGATTATTTTAAATCAATCCACTTTATTACATTTAATAGAACAGTTTCGGCAACGTTTTTGGCATTAAAAATTTTGTGTGTAATAGTGCTTTTCAATAAAATCGAAAATAAACTACATTCATTTGTTTCTTAGCCGGATTTAATGTATTACTGGACACATTCGGAAGTTCCACAGTCAGTTCCGGAAACACCTGGAAAACTTACATGCCTCTCATGGCCACCAACATCACCGACAGCTTCAATTTATCACACGCCAGGTTCGAATACAGATAGTTATGGCGCACCAAAATCCCCAGATTACATCAGTCAAAGCGAACTGGAAACCCGCCCAGAATCGAAATTATCTGCGAAAGAAGTTGAAATTCTTGCATTAGAAGATGAAGTGAAAAGACTGAAACAGGAAGTGGAGAAATATAAGACATTAATCGAAATTCAAAATTTAACCGCTCAAACTTTTAAGGATTTTGGTTCTCCGGTTGATGAAGAAAATAATAAGAAATCTTTTTGTAGTAACTGTGATAGTAGCAAAGTAGATATTAAGGAAAATGTTTTAGAATTTTATGATGAAAATGCGAGCGTCGATAGGGCTGTAGATGTCACTGATAATGCGATCAAGAGAAATGTTAAAGACACCACTCAACAGACAATACAATTATTTTCTCCATCGATAACAAAATCTTCTGAAAATATTGTTGAACTGTTAAACCCGCAAGATTGTTTATCACCACCAAGAACTACTTCTTCACCGCGACCTGAAAAAGGAACACCGCCATCGCTTTCCGTTTCAGATTTTATACAAGGAATAGATTCCCAATTATCACCCGTGACAGCAAATCAACAAGAAAGTTCTTCCTTATTTTCTGAAAAATTGAAAAAAGATGAAGAAATATCTCCTAAATCAGCCCCGCCACCTCCTCCTCCCCCACCCATTCCACCATCAACACTTGAAATATATCCAATTCCACCACCTCCACCAATACTTGAAAATAATAATATTCCGCCCCCACCATCTCCTATGTTACAAATTAATAATACATCCCAGACTAGAATAAGCAGTGAAAGTGGAATTCCACCTCCCCCACCACTTCCATTGCTTGGAATAAATGGTGAATGTGGAATTCCACCTCCCCCTCCACTCCCTATGGTTGAAATTGGTGGACCACCACCACCTCCTCCTCCTCCAATGTTGGGAATGGGAGGTCCACCACCACCTCCTCCTCCCCCAATGTTTGGAATGGGAGGACCACCACCACCTCCACCAATTCCTGGTGGACCGCCACCACCACCAATGTCCGGGTTAAGTGGTCCACTTCCACCCCCATTACCCCCTATGGGAGGAGGGCCTGCTCCGTTGCCACCTCCGCCGGTTGGAGGTTGGGATGCACAAAAGTCAAGTGAGTCCTTTTTCGAAATTTTTTTGTTGACTATTACAATATAATCTTTGTGGTTGATAGGAAATAGAGTTAATAGGAAGATAGAATTTTAGAGTTCATGACAAATTTTAGTGTTGTTCTTTTTAACTGTTAGATATAGAAATAGATCTGATGTTAGAAGCATGAGATCACTTCATGTCATCAAAACGATCATTTCTTTTCATTAATAAATGTTCAACCTAAGATAAGGTACACTAATTTTTCATCTTTATTCAAAGACTATACGTTTTGCTTATCTCATCCTGTCTACTATAAATAGATGTTTATAATATACTAGATTACTCTAAGTTAAATGTTTAATATTCACAAAAACAAAAAACCTTGATAAAATTATTTTCAAATGTTAGATTTAACTTACAAAGTAAGCTTGTCCAAATTTATTGCCAATTATTTACTTCACGAATAGCTAATTTATATAAAAAAAGGATATATGTAAGTATCAATCATTCAAAAAATTATTTTGTTGCTATCGCTCTTTAGTTATCTATTATTGCAGTAGGACCTTCCTAATTTGTGTCTTACAATTACAAAAACAATGATAGTGATTCTGGTATCTTTCTTCTTTGATATGTTATTAAAACTTTTTGATGCTTATGTTAGTTTAAAACGTTTTTGACATGCCAATGTAATTACGAAAAAACTTCGAGATGAACAAAAACATTGTTCAAGTTAGGGAGAACCTATTGCATTTTACATAAATAACTTTTCATGGCCTAACCTAAATATCTTTATTTTTCTATTCGTTTAATTAATTCTGCTCACAATTTTTTGTTACCAGTATATGTTATTTATTGTTTCTGAATGCACTGTCTATGGTTGTTTGTTTGTAGTGGCCCCGCCGCCACCATTTGTAACTCAAGGTAAGAAGATTTTTATAATAATTTCACATACAATCTTTGCAATTTAAATGTTAACACGATTTCGCTTGTAAAACATTTTTTTTTAAATTTTTCTGTTTTTTTTTGTCTTTTTTAGTGTTGCGGAAAAATCCAATTCTACCAACAATTCCAATGAAACCGTTATACTGGACGAGATTATTAGTACCAGAGAAAGTTGAACCAAGCGTAGATCCGGTAACCGGATGTACACCACTTTGGAGTCAAATCGATGAAGTTGAACTGGGAGAGATGTCCGAATTTATTAATCTATTTTCTCGGCAAATTAGCACGAAGAAGGTTGTTGAAAAGAAAGTGGAAACAAAAACCAAAATAGAACCCATTAAATTATTAGATAGTAAACGATCAAAAAACGTTGGGATTCTTGCTCAAAGCTTACACGTCGAATTTAGCGAGATTGAGAATGCTATTTATAATTTAGACACTTCAGTTATTAATTTGGAAGCATTACAACGTATTTACGAAGCTGTATGATATTTTTTATTAATAATTTAAATTATTATTTTTGAAATACGAAAATGAACGCACGTTTTTGTTTTAGAGAGGTACTAATGAAGAATTGGAATTGATAAAATCTCATTTAGAAGCGAATCAGTCGATCCCTTTGGATAAACCGGAGCAGTTTTTGTTTGATTTATCAAAAATATCAAATTTCGCTGAAAGAATATCATGTTTTATGTTTCAAGTGGAATTCGATGACTCCATATCAACTATTGAACATACTTTAGCTAATATGAAGCTTACATCGGAGGTAAATATTTTAATTCGAATTTTAAGAAATAGTTATTTATTTAACATACTAATTCAATACACCTAATTACACTACTAATTCAGATATTATGTATAAAGTCCACGCTTATGAGACGTAGTGAAACGCAAACTACAAGACATCTGATGTATATCTGATATTATAGATACTCTACAAGTTAAATACAACATGCTCTACAAAAGTAAAATCCCAATCAAAAAGAAGACTGATTTTTTCTCGGACTGAGACTTTTCAGTACCGCCCTAATTTCCTCAAACGTGGTTTAATCGATTTCGCGAAAAGCCGAATACCGGATATTCGGCATCCCCTTCGGCCGGATATCCGGCATATCTATCCCGCCATTATGGTTATAACTTCTGGTGCATTTTTGAAGTAATACCCTACATTGCCACATTATTCCGATATTTCAATAAAACTGAAATTAATAAAAAGCTGATAAGATATGTCAACCTTTTTGGATCCAAGATACAAAATGAACTTTTTTGATGCTGATTCAACTCATGAAGTAACTCTAAAAAGAGGATACTTTAATTAATAATCGGCGATATTTCCACAAGGATCCTTGAAGAAATGAATTTTATAACGAATTTTGAAAGTTATCGATGAAAATTGCAACATCGAAAATTTTCAAAACTTAAAATATTGTTTTCTCAAAAACTAAAAGTTATTTTTCAAAATGGGTTGGTTCATCGGAAAGAGGGCACTTTTATTAACAGTTTGGGATATTTTCATACTCATATTCCAAGAAATGGATTTTATACGAATTTTCAAAACTTAATCGGCGAAAACTGCAAAATTCCAAAAAATTGTCGATCATTTCAAAAATTTATTTCTCAAGAACTAAAAGTGATTTTTCAAAACGGTTTTTTGCATTAAAAAGAGGATACTTTAATTAATAATTGAAAGTGATAACAGCAACAGTTCTGTTAGTAATGAATGTGATGATGAATTACAAGCGAAGAGAAGAAAATTAGACGAAACTGCAACAAAAGATTTTATATATCGTATTGGGATTGTTACAATGAGGTTGTTAATGATAAATAAAGTTGTATTCAATGAAAAAAGTCCTATTAGGGTTGAACTTGATTATTATCTGCAGTGTCTAACACCTAAAACAGATACTAATTTCTGTGAATGGTGGAGTACTAAGTAATAGGTTACTTTTAATTTGTCTATCCGTCCTATTGGACTTTGGGTATTTCTCAGAGTTTTCTTGTAACTAAGATGCCAACTGTCTTTGCTAGTTATGAAACCCGAAATAGACCATTTGATCGCCATCTTTGCTATATCTTGTACATTTCATATATTCATTTTGTAAGTATCAAATTTGATTGATGATTATAATTTTTTTTCAAGTTTCTTATGACGAATTCATCGCTCAAAGCTGTTTTCGCGGTGATTCTCACTTTGGGAAATTACATGAATGGTGGAAATCGAGATCGTGGTCAAGCCGATGGATTCGGATTAGAAATTTTATCAAAATTACGTGATGTTAAGTCGAAAGATTCCCGAGTTACTTTGTTACATTTTATAGTAAGAGTTTGTGTTAAACAAATCGAAAATCCTTTCGCTCCAAATCTATCGATGCCGATTCCGGAACCGGGTGATGTTGAAAGATCATCTTCGATTAATTTCGATGATCTTAACTTAAAATTGAATCAATTGCAAAAACAACTCGAAGGTAAAAAAGGTTATTTTAATAAATAAGAATGATGTTGCTGAAATTTTTTTTGTTTAAGCTTGTGATAATCGTATAAAAAAAGTAATACAATACTCAAAACCGGAACATTTAGAACCATTTCAAGAAAAAATGGCGGCTTTTATGGAAAACGCACAAAAACGATTATCATCAGAGCGTGAAAATTTAGCTGAATGTAAAGCAACGTTTATCGAAACTATGAAGTTTTATAGATTTAAGCCGAAAAAGGGGACCATTGAAACAGTTATGCCATCAGAATTCTTTAATTTATGGGCCCCGTTTTGTAAAGATTTTAAAGATATCTGGAAAAAAGAAATTATGAATTTGGAAAAAGAAAAGTTTGTTTCAATTTTATCGCACATTTTCGTTAAACTAATTTTGTTAACTAATTTCTTTTGTAGAATTCAAGCTTTACGTAAACAAGAAAGTGAAAGGTTGGCGGAAAACGTAAAAGGGAAAAAACGAGCGGGTGGATTAAAGGCGAAAGTGGAAAAAATGAAACAAAAAATGAAAGCGTAGAAGTGATAATAGTATGATTGGTGCTCTTAACTCAAGTATACAAAGTGTATTTCGTAGTTTGTCCAAGTTTTTTTTGTCTCTTTATATCATGTTTGTTGTTGAAATAATTTCGTCACTAGATTTTCAGAAAATTATGTGATTGTGTGATGTAAATTTACTTATACATAGTGTTGCCCTATCTTGTTCATACTATCTATATTGATAATATATTATTTACTTTTTTAAAACCTTCTTTTTTTAATTATATTTTAATAACCTTAAGGAAAAGTATGTTGTAGCAAAAACTTATTTATTAATCTTTCAATATACGCGCGCGGACTATCAATTCGCGTAATTTAAACTTAAACTCGTGTTTGACTGGGAAGTTAAAAAACTCAGAAATACAATAAAAATTCGTTCTTTATTTTTTTTTGTATGTACAACGTACAATTAAGATCATAGTAAAAGTAAAACCTACACTTACATTTACATCGAAATTATTCTATATACACAATTTAATTTTCTCATTTTAAATTATGGCAACATAGCCAGAAAAATAATAATAGCGTACACAAAACGTATACATAATAATAAAATAATCATAAAAAAAGAAAGGATATGTTACACATTAATAAAAAATTATATCTTTTCAACATACTTTTATTTTTTGTCAAATTCTTTTGTATTATTTCTGTTCGATTTGAGATCACTTCAACAAAATAACAATTAAGTAAAAAAATGATAACATGTTTTGTTTAAACAAATTTGTTAAGTAGATGTGCGAAAAATTGATAAATATCGTTGATGATGATAAAATTAATAAATAGATTTAATTAAAATTAGACAAAAAACAACAACACTATTAAGTACCGTTTTTGTTTCAATATTTCTTGATGATGATTTTAATAAGTACATTTGTCCGTTTTCTCTCGTCAATTACAGCTTCTTAAAAATAATAATAAAGTCACATCAACATCGTTTTTTTCTGTAATTATTGTGCTTATTTTTAAGAGTATTTGGCACAAGAATTTTAATTGTAAATTTTTTTTACAATTTGTTGTGGTTAGTGCTTTAAAATTTTGTTTAATTTCGATTAACATAAAATCGATTAAGATAAAAATTAAAAAGCATTAACTAAAACATTTCAGTTTTTTAAATAACAAGAAATGAAATATTTTTGTTACTAAAATGAAGTAACAAAAACATTAATTTTTTTTGTTAATTAAAAAAGTTAATTAAATATTGCTTAAAAATTACCACAATAACTACACTTTACACATTTTATAGAATAATAAGATCTTTTTTATTAAAACATTGAGTCTCACAACAATTATTGCAAATTATCTCCTTTCAAAATCACATTATTTCTTTTTCATCTTTTTATTGCTGTTCATGCTCACTTCATGTCCGTTTTATTTTTTTACGTTCCATTTTCTTTTTTTCTTTTCATCCATCTTGGTCCAATTTTTCATTCAACTTTTACTCAGGATCATTCATTCTTAATATTCACAAAAACACCAAAAAACACAGAATGTTTTAAAAAACATGGCAGGAACTTATATTTATATACATTAAAAGTTCGTTTTTTGTTTAAATTAATGTATTATTTAGCATTTTTATTTTACTTATTTCTTCCTTTCTTAGTACGTGCGTAAATTATCACTTTTTTGATGATGGCAATTCCGTAAGTACACAGATAAAAGTTTTCTTTGAACACTTCTCATTCTTTTAAGTTTAAAATACAATTATTATTAATTTTTTTAAGACGTGAATTAATAAATATTTATTTTTGCTTTTCTTTAAAAGTTTTTATAAAGTCCATCAGGTACGAAGATTCTTCGAAACTATATTAGATCAACATGTTAATTTACACAACATTATCTGATTAAATATTCTCCTCCTAAGAATATATTAACGACTTGATAATTTAAGTTCGTTCACTTTTAAGATCAATCATTTTTTTGATCAAGTTTATAATAAATTTCACGTTTAAATTAGCAGCACACACAAAAACATAAAAACGGATATTTTTTTCTTGAAATGGGATTCCTTTTTAAACGATAATTTCGCGTATAACTCTTCTTGTTCGCGAATTTGGCGTCGAATATCCACTTTCTAAACTTTCTTCATAGCTGAGGGACATGTGTTGAGGGGGTTTTTCCTCTTCCATTTGTTCTAAGTATGGATCTGGAAGGCCACTTACATCGTGATATGGTGAATCTGAAAGAATAAAATAATTTAGTTTAAGTAATTTTTCAAATATTGTTTAAAATAAGTATTATTAATTAACAGTACAGTGAGGTTAATTTAAATATCTGGAGTGTATATTATTGTGTTCACTTTTAAAACACGTTCAGTTTCCAAAACTGACTTTTTGATAACCGATTCTTGTAAGTTATCCTTCATCTTTTATTGTGCTATAAGTTTTGATTCAAAATAGATGATTTAAATCTGACACTTGTAACATTTTTTCAAAGGCAAATTTTTCGATAGTTAACATCATCGTATTCTTTCTTCTATATTATACACCTCTACGTTATGGTGTCTTATCAGGATTAGGTCTGAAGGGCCATAGGGTTCTATGGTCTCGATAAAGTTTGCTGCTGATACTGCAGATATAGCAGTAGAATAGATGCGTTGCTTCTTGGCAATTACATGACACAAAATTTAGATTGTTTATGCATAAACAACATTTACTTGATTTTTCAGAAAACTCAAAAAACTTTCATCATGTCGTAATGACGTAGGCATTTGCGCAAACTTTAAACCAATATTGTAGCGATTAAAGTTTGTTTGTAACTGTTGGACGATGATTCAAAAATCCTGTTCAACAGGGTAGTTAAGTAAAAGTGACCATTTTGGAGTTTATGCCCTTTTGGCTTGGCGCCGTCGATATTTTTCCACTTTTCACATCCACACCGTTCTTCATATTGACATTAATAGGTATAAAAGGAATGGCTAAAGGAATGGAAAAGAGTTATATAGGTGGCATGACAACAATGTAGTTAGCATTGCATCAAATACTGCAATTTTGTGCAACAACCAAACTCGATGTATAATCGGCTGTATAATGAGAACGTGACAGGAGTAGATAGAGCATCCTTAAGTTTATGAGAAATTCTATCAAATTTGCGAATCCCATAAATGAATCTGAGGCAACTATTCTGAACCTTTTGTATACTTTGTGACGTGACTGCATCTATAGCCTTATAATATACAGCAGACATATAGTTAAATTGTGAAAGAACAAACATCACAGAGGTGCACTATTAATTTCAAAGATAAACATGAACGATGCGGGTACAACCGACGCAAAAAAAATATGGTCTCTGAATATATGTTTGAATTTGTTTTCTAAATCTTAAGCTAGTATCTAAAATCATACCAAGACACTTAGCTTTAGGGTTCTTTTTAATTAAGGTATTATTCATCTTAATGGGTAAGTGCGAAGTAGTGTATTAAAACTCATTCACATAGATTTGTCAGGATTTATTTTTGAATTCTGTTGCTAATTCAAAAATCAAGGTCACCGCTAATATCAGCCTTTAGAAAGTGCAGGAAAAATATTTATTGGTTGTAAGTCACTATACTCTCGTGGGTTATCCTTTTTTGATGCGTTTCCATTCCAAGGAAAAGACACGGTCAACTAAACAACAATTCAATATGTTGGTCAAATATGGCAAAATGGTGGGGCAACACAGTTTGATCATCTTAATGGAAATTCCATCAGTACCAACAGCAGAAGATCTAATATATGCAATCACGTCAGAAACCAGAGGGATCTCCACAGTCTTAAATGAAAACTCATTGCTATAAGTAGGAGAACTATACAGATCAAGGTCAGAAGCCTGCAAATCTTTAATAATGTCACTGCCCACAAAATAATCATTAATCTGATCAGGATGTTTTAAATTTAAATGTAGATAAGATTTTTGAATTGGTTTTAAGTTCAAAATTTTCAAGTTATTCCACATCTGTTTGGTATTGCCCATAGCAGCAATAAAACCAAAATTAGCTCGCTTTTCATTTCTGATAGGTGCAGTAGTAAGATTACGAAGGGTCTTATAATATTCCCAATGAGCTACCATGTCTAAACTTGGTTTTAGCCTCATTTCTGAACTTAATCATTAATCTAATATTATCAGTCACCCAGGGTGTGGGAGGCTTGGTAAATCGATAAATTGATTCTAAATCATGCAGAAAAGATGATAGGCTTAATAGTCGTAGAGACTTAAACACTGGAGGTTGTCTACCTACATTCACACCAACATCGCAAAATAACCATATCATAATCAGACAAATTGTACGGGACCAGTCCATTGCGAAGAACGATGTTAGATGTTAGTTAACGATATAAGAGAGTGTTTTTGGTATTCTGGATTATAGTGACTTAAGACTTCGAAAATAAAGTTTAATATAAGTGAGGTAAAGCGAGTTGAGGTTGCTGTCGTTGTTTTGTGGAAAGATTTCATTGAAGATACTTGAAAATTTATAACAGTAAAACTATGTCGGCACCTTGATAACCAATCAATTAACTGTAGCTATGTTTAAATAGGTGTTTAGAATTTATTTGCAAATCTGACGTCCTTCATGATATTATTAAAACAATTGATGACAAGAATGTGATTATAGGAAAGTTACGGTATTAATTTTGGTAGATTTTTCAAAGGCATTCTATAGGCACCATAGGTCTTGATAAAGTTATTATTACGTTTTTCTGTTCACATAGACTAAATGTACAGACTGAGGTAAAAAGCTGAATTCAGGAATCGTTGGCTGAATCAGAAGGCTCAAATTCAGTATCAACATATTAAAATCAGCTGTGAGGGTTGATGCAATGTGATTAGGTACAAAGGGAAAATCGTAGGTTGCATTATTGAAATCTGTTCAGGGAAATCCAGCTCGTGTGCATGTGCGTGAGTGTAAAGACTGATAAAAATGTTGGTTTTAAATGTCTCAGACTCATGAAAATCCATATTGTTAGGCTAAACACATCATCACCAGAAGGTGAGGTCCAACATTCTCCTTATAGTTTTGGTGGTCTTCTCTTTGATTTTGCATTTTTATCGACTCTGTCATCTTCCATTCTTCCATAATCTTCCATTATCTTGTTCCAGAATCTTCGTTTTTGTCCCAACCATCTTCTTTCCGCATTGTTGTCTGATAT